TTGAGCCACATCCCCAGCCTGCATACGATTCTCAATTTTAGCAGCTTGCTTGCTTTTTCTTTGCAGTGCTAGGATGGAATCCAGGGCCTTGCAGATGGTAGCTAGGCAAGCAAGTGCTCTGCCACTAAGCCACATCCCTAACTTTTTAAATGTTTCGTGTTGTTCCTAAATTGTCCCCCTTTTATTTTTATTTGTTAGTAGAGCCTTAAAAATGTACTTCGTCCCTTTCTTGTTGATCCAGTAGAACCATGGAGGGTGCATCTGTCCTGTTGACATTAATGCAGTCATCCTTTCAGAGATGGTGCTCACCATCTTGGAGCATAGTCACAGTTGCATTTCCTTAGCTGGAACCCAGGGCCTCATGCATGCTTGGCAAGCACTCCACTGCTAAGCTACCCCAGCCCTGGTTGTGCCATTTTGTGAAGCTTACAAAAATAGAGGGAATTCTACCCCACTCTCACAATCAGATGGTCCATATCATTCCAATTCAGAGAATTAACTGTTAATTAAAAAACAAAACAAAACTTTGAAAGCAAGGTGTTCTCTAATTAACCAGTTCCCATCATCTATCCTCCCCTATGCTGAGTTAATTTACATATGTCTTTTCTGGCATGTGAAACTTCTTAATAATAACTACGACTACTACTACTACTACTACTGCTACTACTATTTGCTATTCTTCTTTCCCTATGCCATCTATTTCTTAGCAAAAGTTCCTCTGTCTTCCTCAGCACATGTGTTAAGCTGTCACATCCAGTTTAGAAGTTCTCCATCATTTCTGAGCAGTGGCCCATCATGTCCAGTTTAGAGAAAGAGATACTTGCCTTCTGGGAATAAGCCTGCTTGGACACCTTCCTTGGTTTGGTCCCTCTCCTTCCTCGCTAGTTGCATCTTTCCACTGTCCTGTGCTTTCTCTTAGTCTTGACCTCATCAGTAGGCCCCCTCGGTTGTTGGGTTTCTTTTATGTACATTCACGCCTGGGTGATTTTGTCTGATCCAATGGCTTAGAACACCATCAACAAACACTCACTCTCTAGATATCTCTCTTTAACCTTGACCTGTACTCCAGGACCTTGTGTCCAGCTACCTGTGCTACTGGTGTCTCTAACGGGCATCTCAAAAAACGAGAGCCAAACTCCTGCACCCAAACCCTTGACAAAAACCCAGTCTTCCTGTAGTCTTTGTCATCACCTGAGTATTAATCCAGTCTTCCATTTGGAGGCACATTTGAGTCCTGTTTGTCTCACCTCCACATTTAGTCTGTCATTAAGTGTCAACTGTCAGTAAATTTTTGAAAAAAGACTCCCACCTCTTCTTTCCACCTCCGCTGCTGCAGGCCGCTAGTTCTCTGCTTGGTTTCAGTGATCTCTCTGCTGGTCTCCCTGCTTTCTCTTGTTCCTAGAGATTCTTAAAACTATTTTTTTAAAGTATTCATTTGTGGCCCGTCACATAGCAAGCTGCCAGCATGGTCCTTTAAAAGACTGACTTGGATCCTCTGCTTTCCATGCCACAGGGAGTAAATGCCTCCGTTTCAGTGACTTCAGAAACCCTATGTTTCATGTTCGTTCTTCTAGAAGCCTCTGTGTGCTCTGTGCCTATGCCCCCTCTAATCTGCTCCAGCCACCCAGCCTTTGTGCTGTTCCTCAGACTGGCATTTCGGCCTCCAGGCTTCACGCTTCCCCGCCCCCCCTTGCTGCACATTTTCCCAGGTGTCTGTCAGCTTCCCTCAGCTCTCCACCATCACCCCTGCCACCACAAACTGCTCTGTTTTCCCCAAGGTGCTGACATTTACTTGTTAACTAAATTTATTGATGTTATTTATTAAGTTACTTATTTGTTATTTCCTAGTACTTTGTTCACTAACCTACATAAGCACAGATGAGGGCAGAAACCTTGTTTTGTTCTTTGTTGAGTCTTCAGTGCCCCCAGCAGTATCTGGATATAGAAGTCTTAATAATTTTCCTGACATTTTTACATTGGGAAATTAGAATTGAGAAAGATTATAGTTCTGCACTTAAGGAGTGGCCATTACTTCTTTCTTAAATTTCTTTCTTCTGCCAGTTTTGGGATAAAATTGAAGTGATTTTTTAGTTCTAAATATAGTCAGTGGTTAATCAGTTCAGATATTGTCAACCAAATCAAACCAGGGGGCATTTCCATGTGAGCCCTCTTTGTTCCATGGCGGAGAAACTGCATTGGTATATGTTGGGAGAGGCCTCCAGGCTTTCTGTCTTTAACAGAAAGACAGTGTCTTTAACTCCTGGTTGCCCTTAGTGTCTATAACTTTCAACCGGGGCTTGCTTTTGCGGTCCTAGAGGAAAGATCATGTCATAAGAACAGAGTCTAATATTGTTTGTTGCCAGAACAAACAATATTCTGATAATTAGTAGAGCTAAAAGTTTATGGATAGCCCCCGAGATGACTGATAGCTTTATTAGAACTGCTTTACTGATCACTGTTTTGTGGCTATGTGGAAAGGACAGGCATCTCTGCTAGGCCATATGTAGGTACGTGCAGTGTGCCTCAACTGTGATTGACAGAAGAGCCTATCACATTATGGGACCTTCAGTTCAAACAGTAATTGACCACAATGTAATTGAGACCCAAGTACCAGTTGTTAACAATTTGGATCATTTACCCACATTTAGTCAGAGTGATATTATAAAATGGCATGGGTCTCAGTCTGTTCTATAAACTGGCTGAAATGTGTATTGCTGAAATTATATAATTTCCTCAATAAAATTTATTCCATAATTTGTATTTAAATCTGCCATCTGCTCTTTGCCCTGATAGATGATAAAATAGTGTAAACATAATTCTCAACACTGCTGTACCTGGAGGTCATCCCCAGGTGGGCCTCATTCCCAGATTCTGCTTTGTACCTGCTGAGTGGGAATCTTGGTTGAAACATAAGGATTCTCCATAGAGAGATGGCTTGCTATCTTTTGTGTCTCTTTAATTCTATCTGGAGTTTCCCTCTTCTGCTCCATGCAGATAGCCTTTAGGTCTTATAATTGAGGAAAATTAGAGTCTTAAACACACATTCTTCAGTCATACAAATCATGTGTTATATGAGGTGTTCTGGGGATAGAGTCCCTAAATGACAAAAAGTACTTTAGCTTCTCCTCCTCGCCCTTTTTTCCTGGAGATGTATAACTAGGGACTGAGCCAGAATCAGAGTGGCAGAGGGTAGGGAGGTTGCTGGTGGTGGCTGTGAGTCCTACCATGTCTATACCTGTGCAGGATCTTCTTTTGCTGTCCCTAGCACCATAGGCATCTTGAAATAGAAGGAGATTTGAAGAGGTCAGGCAGTAACTTTAATTACAGTTAAAAAAAAAAAAAAACCAGATAATACAGTTTTTTTGTGTGACCTGGTTTAGAGCACAGCCTCATTTATTCTTTCATCAGTTGAGTGCCTCTGATCTACTCTACATTATGCTGGATACTGGGGTCAGAGATAAGAAAAAATGGATTGTTGACCTCAGGAACTCTCAAGTCAATTAAGGAAGCAGATGGTTAGTTACAGTGACCTAAAGCCTTTCACTTGTTTTGTATTAGGGATATGCAAATGCATTTGGCAGTGAAGGTCAAGGCAGACTTTGTAGAGGTCCTAAACACTGAATTGGGGCAGAACTAAATTAGCCAGACACAAGGACATGGGTGATAGTAGCCTAGGCAGAGAGAGGAGAAAGGTGAGAGAGGGCCATGGTGCATTACTTTATTTTTCAACCTTACTGTGTGTAGATGCTTCAGAAGTACACTGCTATCCAGGGCAGTGTGATACAAAACTGTAATCCCAGCTGGGAGTGCTTGAAAGTCATTTGTTAAGGGGCTGGGAGTGTAGCTTAGTGGTAGAGTGTGTGCTTATTAGCACGTGGAAGGCTCTGGGTTTAATCCCAGCACTTAAAAAAAAAAAAAAAAAAGTCAATTTTTTATACTTAAAAAAAAAAGTCCATTATTTATACTTTCTATATGTTTTGTAAATCAAACTTCCTATATGACCTTGTTGGTACAGTCAAGCAATGCTTGGGTAAAAGCACTTAGGTTCTACTCACGTTTCCACTGCAGGCAGATTGGAATGGGCCCTGGTTTCATCTGTAAGTTGGCATCGTGCTAGTGATCACAAAGTCCTTTTAGCTACAAAGTTGTATATTCTTGTGCTTTCTTATCTTTGGGCCTTTTAAATGTGATTAAGACTAAAGCATAATTCCATAATGAAGTGATAGAATGGGCATCATTTTTTTATTCCATGTGATAGAATGATAGAATAGTGATAGAATGGGCATCATTTTTTATACCATTAGCAACAATGGTAGTCCATTTACCACGGTGGACAGAAGTTCACCTAGGTGCCTTTTCCTAAACTTTCCTTCAGACAAGGACATGATTTCTTTATAGTTTACCCAGCTCATAGAGTATCACCAAAACCTGTAATTTGAGTGCATTGTAGAGCTATTCCTACATGTCAGCAAAATAAAGAACAAAGATGCTTCTTATTGTTTAACTGAAAGGTGAATACTTATTGAGCACCTAGTGTTTGCCAGTCACTCTTTTTTTTTTTTTTAAGAGAGAGAGAGAGAATTTTTAATATTTATTTTTTAGTTTTCTGTGGACACAACATCATTATTTTATTTTTATGTGGTGCTGAGGATGGAACCCAGCACGAACCCAGCACCCCGCGCATGCCAGGGAAGCATGTTACCACTTGAGCCACATCCCCAGCCCTGCCAGTCACTCTTTTAAGCACAAGAAATGAACAAGTCAGAAAGATCCCTCCTGTCTTATGTAGTTTATATTATGACTAGAGTCTGGGGGCAATATAGTACTGAACGTGACATGGTGTGGTTCGGGAAGCTAAAGACTATTTTGTCTTTCAGAATGCAGACATTATTACTAAATTAATTTCAATCTTATGTGTCTTTCTTGGGGTGGGTTTAGCATACTTTTTCATGTATTTATCTCCCCATATTGTTTTGTTTTTCATGTTTTGTTTCTGTTAGGAGAGAACACTGAAATTATTCTCTAAGCTATTTGAAGAGAGTGACTAAATGCACCTGGGCCAGGCTGTCTGTGGGTATGAAGTGGTTGGGAGAATCCAAGAACATGGTGATGAATGGCAGGAGAAATGGAGGCAAGTTGTCTAATGACCATCAGCAGCATCAGTCAAAATTACAGCACACGGGCAAGGACACCTTGAAGACTGGCAAAAACGCAGTTGAGCGGAGATCAAGCAGATGTATGTACACAAACATTATTACTGTTTTGCTCATGATTCTTTCCAGTTTGTAATGTGTACTGTTTTCTTTTGTTATAAAAACAACTTTGTAGGGCTAGAGTATGGATTGCCCAGTATGCACAAGGCCCTGGGTTACCAGGATACGTTTCTGTTTTTGTCAGTGGGTCTTTATTTTACTTACTTATAAGTGGTGCTAAGAATTGAACCCAATGCCTCACACATGCTAGGCAAGCACTCTACCACTGAGCCACAACCCAGCCCATCATTATAGTTTTTTTTATTCTTAAGGGTTTTAGCAGTTTTTATTCTTATTGAACAATATGTAAAATGTAAGTTTAATGCTCTATGTAATCTTTTGTTTTTTTGTTTTGGTGGTGCTGGGGATTGAACCCAGGGCCTTGTGCATGCAAGACAAACACTCTACCAACTGAGCTACATCCCCAGCCCTCTCTATGTAATCTTAATCATGTTTTTCTATCCATACTTTTGATCTGTTCTTTTCTTTTCGGTACCAGGGATTGAACCCAGGGACAACTGACCATTGAGCCACATCATTCCCAGCCCTTTTTTTTTTTTTTTTGGTGGTGGTAGTGCTGGGGATTGAACTCAGGGCCTTATGCATGCAAGGCAAGCACTCTACCAACTAAGCTATATTCCCAGCCCTTTTAATTTTGAAACAGGGTCTCTCTAAGTTGCAGAGGCTGGCTTTGAGTTTGCAATCCTCCCACCTCAGCCTCCTAAGTTGCTTGGATTACATGTGTGCACCAGATGCCCAGCAGTTGATTTGTTCTATAAAAATTTTTGAAATACTAAATTTCTTTTCTTTTTTTTTTTAAAGAGAGAGAGAGAGAATTTCAATATTTATTTTTCAGTTTTCAGCAGACACAACATCTTTGTTTGTATGTGGTGCTGAGGATCGAACCTGGGCCGCACGCATGCCAGGCGAGCGCGCTACCACTTGAGCCACATCCCTAGCCCACTAAATTTCTTGTAACTTTTAAGATATATATTTTTTACGTTCAGTACAAGTGTAAAGATGTACTTTTTGCATAACTTCCATAAATGTTTCAAAAGAATCAAACGAAAACTAAAGTTAAATCTAATTTACATGATGCATAGAATGGAGAACAAATAGAACTACCTTCTTAGTAGCTCACAGGTCACAGCTCCTTGGTTTATAAGGGGTGAACTGTGAGTGATGGTGGCGTATGTTTTAATGTTTATTTTTTAGCTTTTAGGTGGACACAATATCTTACCCAGTGCCTCGTACATGCTGGGCGAGCACTCTACCACTGAGCCACAACCCCAGCCCCAAGAACAACTTTTTAGTTTTTTTTTTAATATTTATTCTTTAGGTGTAGATGGACACAATGCCTTTATTTTTATGTGGTGCTGAGGATTGAACCCGGGTCCTGCGAGTGCTCTACTGCTGAGCCACAATCGCAGACCCTAGTTTTGCTTTTCTTAACATCAATCTAGCCACTATTGAATATTCTCAATTCGAGTTGTTCTTGGCCAATTCTCTGTAGTTTGGATTAGCTTAGGGTTTTCTGTAGCGTCAGATCAAGTCAGTGTTTCCTAGAAAACCAGGTATGATTCCTGCTTGGGTAAGAGTAAGAGAAAGTCCAAGGCTTTATTGGCTATCTTCTGGATGGACACCAGCTCACCACTGAGGCTGCAGTCAGCATAAACCTTGATCCTGTCTCACCCCTTAGCATTTAATGGGAACCTCAAAGCTTGAGAAATGTAGTGAGTTACCTTATCATTGGGATTGGTTGTGGTCAGTAAAACAGGCATTTCTGAAGTGATTTCACAAATTACTATTGGCTGCTTTTTGTGGATCATAGTGCAAAAATGTTTTTAATTGTCATAGATAAACAAGAATTTAGGAAATGATCATTATGGCTTGTACTTTGCCAAGAGTAGATGGAGGTGGGAAAACTCAAAAGTGTGGAGATGGCAGTGTCACATTGAATGTTATTGGGCAAGAATGGTACAAAAAGAGACAGGGAAAGAAACAGGAGAACACAAAGTAGTGCCGCATCTTGGATAAAATGTAGCAACTTCACCTAACATCACACCCCAAAAAGGCCTGCAACAAAAGCTGTCAAAATCGAGGGGGTAGAAATGGTCAACTCAATAATAATTTGGATATTCGAATACTCCACTTTCAGTAATTGATGGAACAAGTAGGCAGAAGATCAGCAAGGAAAGAGTGGACTTAAACATAACACTGTAAAACAACTAGACCTATCTGACATCTAAGGAACATTTCACTCAAGAATGGGAGAATATGCATTGTTCTTCAGTATGCATGAAATATTTTCCATGAAGTATTCTCCAGGACCCATCATGTGCTAAGCCATGTATGAGTTTTAGGAACTTGAAAGGATTGAAATCATAAAAGGTATGTTCTCTGACCAATGTGTAGTAAAATTCGAAATTCATATACAAAAGAAATTTGGGAGGGCCGGGGTTGTGGCTCAGTGGTACGGCACTTGCCTAGCATATGTGAGGCACTGGGTTCGATCCCCGGAACCACATAAAAATAAAAAATAAAGGTATTAAGTCCATCTACAACTAGAAAAAAAGAAACTTGGGAGACTTTACTATACCTGAAAATTAAACACCACACTCCTAAATAACCAGTAAATCAAGGAAGAAATCAAAAAGGAAACACTACGAGATGAATGAAAATGAAGATACATGTACCAAAACTTATGGAATGCAGATAAAGCAGCAGCTTAAAAGGAAATTTATGGTCATTGTAAATGCCCATATTGCGAAAGAAGATCTCAAATCAGTTACCTAGCCTTCTACCTTAGAACACCAGAAAAAGAAGAATGAACTAAGTCTGAAGCAAATAGCAGGAAAAAAATAATGAAGCTTAAAGTGGAAATTAACAAAACAAGAACAGAAAAAAAAAGAGAAAACCAGCAAAACCAAAAGTTGATTTTTGAAAAGATCAATAAGACTAGCAAACCTTAAGCAAAACCAAGAGAAAAAGAAAAAACTCAAAAGTACTAAGATCTAGAATGAAATAGGAAACATTACCATTACTGCTCTACAGAAATAGAAGAGATGTTATAACAATACCATGAGCAAGCACTTGTGTACCAACAAATCAGGTAAGTTTAATAAAATGGACAGATTCCTAGAAGCAGACAGCTTAAAGTGATTCAAGAAAAAATAAAACTTGTGGAAAAAAAAAAAAAAAAAAAACTATACTGAGTAAAGAGAGAGGAAGTTGAGTTAAAAAAGAAGAAAAAGAAAAACCCCCCTCACAAAATTTCAGGCTCAGATGGCTTCCTTGTGAATTCTCTAAGATGTCTAAAGAATTAGTACCAATTTTTTATAAACTCTTCCAAAAAATAGAAGGCAAAGAAATACTTGATAACTTGTTTTATTACCCTGCCACCAAAATCAGACAGCATCAGAAAACTATAGATCAATATCTCCTTTGAATATTGACAAAAGAATCCTGAATAAAATACTAGCAAATTTGGGCTGGGGCTGTGGCTCAGCGGTAGCGCACTTGCCTGGCATGTGTAAAGCTCTGAGTTGGATTCTCAGCACCACGTATGGTCTATCAACAACTTTAAAAAAATATATATATATATATTAGCAAACTAAAGCCAGAAGCTTATAAAAAGGAGTCTGCAGCATGGCTTTTGGGGTTTATCCCTAGAATGTAGGGTTGTTTTAAAATCTGAAAATCAGTGTAATGAACCAAATCAGTAGAATGAAGGACAAAACATGACGAGGTCATTTCAATGGCTGCAGGAAAGGCATTTAGCAAAATCCAGCCTGCTTTTAGGTGGGAAGTACTTAGAAAACCAGGAATAGAAAGGAATACCTCGGGCTGGAGATGTGGCTCAAGCGGTAGTGCGCTCGCCTGGCATGCGTGAGGCCCAGATTCGATCCTCAGCACCACATACAAACAAAGATGTTGTGTCCACTGAAAACTAAAAAATAAATATTAAAATTCTCTTTCTCTCTCTCTCTCTCTCAAAAAAAAAAAGAAAAAAAGGAATACCTCAAGCTGATGGAGGACAGCTGTGCAAAACCGTAGCTCACAGCTAGGGTTATGTTTAATGGTGAAAGCCTAGATATTTTCCCACTAAGATCCAGGAGCAAAACAAGGGTGTCAACTCTCACCACTTCCACTTAACATTGTACTAGAGGCTCCAGCCAGAGAGTTAGTCAAGAAAATGAACTAAAAGCCATCTAGATTGGACAGGAAGAAGTAAAACCATCTATTTTGCTGATGACATGATAGCATAATATAGAAAACCTGAGGGCTGGGGATGTGGCTCAAGCGGTAGCGCGCTCACCTGGCATGCGTGCAGCCCGGGTTCGATCCTCAGCACCACATACAAACAAAGATGTTGTGTCTGCCGAAAACTAAAAAAAAAAATAAATATTAAAAAAAAATTCTCTCTCTCTCTCCCTCTCTCTCTCTCACTCTTTCTTTAAAAAAAAAAAATATATATATATATATATATATAGAAAACCTGGGAAACCATTAAAGAAATGTTAGAATATTATCTGACCATAACAAGGGATGAACCTTGAAACGCAACAAGGTTGTAGGATACAAGATCAATATGCAATAAATCAATCATTTTTATGTGCTTGGGATGAGCAATTTAAAAATGAAGTTAAGAAAATCTCATGATGGGGCTGGGGATATGGCTCAAGCCGTGGCGTGCTCGCCTGGCATGCGTGCGGCCCGGGTTCGGTCCTCAGCACCACATACAAACAAAGATGTTGTGTCCGCCGAGAACTAAAAAATAAATATTAAAAATAAATTCTCTCTCTCTCCCTCTCCTCTCCTCTCCTCTCTTTAAAAAAAAAAAAGAAAGAAAGAAAGAAAATCTCATGATAATAAATTTTAGAAATATGTAAAACTTGGGCTGGGGCTGTAGTTCAGTGACAGAGTGCTTGCCTAGCACGTGTGAGGTACTGGGTTTGATTCTTAGCACTGCATAAAAATAAATGCATGCTGTTCATCTACAACTAAAAAAAATTTTTTTTAAAGAAAAACATGTCAAACTTACTTCTGAAAACTACAAACTATTGCTGAAAGAAATTAAAGAAGAGCTAAATAAATGGAAAGGTTTATGATTAAAAGACTTGATGTTGTTAAAATGGTAGTACTCCTGAAATGACTTTTATAGATTCAACAGAGTCTCTGTCAAATCCCAATTGACTTCTTTGTAGAAAATGACAAACTGATCCTAAAATACTTATGGAAATTCAAGGGACCCAGAATAGCCAAAACAATCTTGAGAAAGAACAAATTTGGAGAACTCATACTTTCCAATTTCAAAATTTAGTACAAAGGCAGTAATCAAAACAGAGATGATATGGCATTGACATGTAGATTGAATGAGAGTCTAATTCTCACATTTTTGGTCAGTTGATGCTTGGCAAGACTGCCAAGAAAAATCAGCACAGTAAGGAAATTTTTTCAGTAAATAATGATGAGAAAATTTAGTATTCATATGTGAAGTTGAAATCCTGTCTCACACAATATGTAAAAATTAACTCAAAATGAATTAATACCTACATGTAAGAGCAAAATCTATGCAGTTCCTAGAAGAAAACAGACATAATTTCTCCTGACTTTGGATTAAGCAGTGGTTTCTAAGATATGACACTAAAGATAAAAAGGAACAAAAAATTTCATCAAAATTGCCAACTTTTGGGCCGGGGTTGTGGCTTAGCAGTAGACCACTCGCTGCACATGCCAGGCCCTGGGTTCCATCCTTAGCACCAAATTAAATAAAGGTATTGTATCCGACTACAACTAAAAAATAATATTTAAAAAAAAAATTGCCAACTTTTACACTTTTTTTTTAATCTCTATTTTTTAGGTGTAGTTGGACACATGTCTTTATTTTATTTATTTTTATGTGGTGCTGAGGATCGAACCCAGGGTCTCACACATGCTAGGCGAGCGCTCTACCACTGAGCTACAACCCCAGCCCTCCTCACACTTATTTTTAATATTTATTTTTTATTTATAGGTGGGCACAATATCTTTATTTTATTATTTATTTTTATGTGGTGCTGAGGATGGAACCCAGTGCCTCACGCATGCTAGACGAGTGCTCTACCGCTGAGCCCCGAACTTTCACACTTTAAGGGATATCATTAAGAACATGAAGAGACAGCCATAGCCGGGCACAGTGGCACACACCTGTGATCCCAGCATCTTGGGAGGCTAACGCAGGAGGATCAAGAGTTCAGAGCCAGCCCTCAGAAAAAGCTGGGTGCTAAGCAACTCAGACCCTGTCTCTAAAGAAAATACAAAATAGGGCTGGGGATTTGGCTCAGGGGTCAAGTCCCCCCAGGTTCAATCCTCAGTACCAAAAATAAATAAATAAAGATAGCCACGGTGTGGAAGGAAGTATTTTCATATTATAGATCTGATAAGGGAATAGTATCCAGAATACATAAAGAACTCTTTTTAAAAGTCAACAGTAAAAGACAAAATTCAGTTTTAAAATGGCCAAAGGATCTGAGTAGACAGAAATTTCTCCAGAGATAGTAATGGACTGTAAGCATATGAAAAAATGTTTTAACATCATTAGTCACCAGGGAATGCAAATCAGTGACACATCATATGACTTCAGCTACTAGGATATCTAGAATCAAACAGATGCTATATCCCCAGCCCTCCCATTCTTTTATGTCTTAAATTTGAGAGCCTTGAAATTATACTGTGGTGTCTTCTGGAAATTGTATGTGCTCATTCCATGGAAAGACTGTCAGCGATACATGCATTAAACTCAGCTCTGATAAAACTTCATCTATGTAATTGTGACTTTTCTTCTTTACATTGCTTTACCATAGTTAAATCTAGTTATTACAGCTATATATTTCAGTCTCTTTTTATTCATTCTTTTTATTTATTCTTTTCAAAATTGAAGTCAGTTAAAAACAGACCTGTTGGGGGGGCTGGGGTTGTGGCTCAGCGGTAGAGCGTTTGCCTCACACGTGCGGGGCCCTAGGTTCGATCCTCAGCACCACATAAAAATAAACAAAATAGAGATATTGTGTCCAACTACAACTAAGAAAAAATAAGTATTAAAAAGAAACAGACCTATCAGTCTCTCTCCACTTTCCCCATTTCTGCTACCTAGCTCTCTGATCATATGTAAGTTTCTTAGCCTCTAGGCCTCAGTTGCCTACAAAGTGGGGGTAACAATCACTTAACTGCCTAAAAGCAGGAAGCTGAACTCTGTAGGATCCTATTGGTGCTTGAGATGCACAGTCTAGCCCTTACTTTAGAACCCGTCTTAAGCGCATTCCATTTCTCTCTTGCCCCAACCCTATCTGCAATGGCACTATGTGCCTTCTCATTAAAATAGTAAATATCCTATCATCCCCTATTTCTCAGCTGCCCTTGGAGGAAAGAGTAAAGTTCCTAAGTTAAAACTTCCCCCAACTACCCAGATACCAGAAACCTGATAGTATAATTAGCTACCCAAAATATTCTTAGTAGCTGGGAACAGTGGCACATACCTTATAATCCCACCTGAGAGGATCACAAGTTCCAGGCCAGGCTGGGCAACTTAACAGACCAATCTCAAAAAAAAAAAAAAAAATGTTTTTTAAAGGGCTTAGTGGTAAAGTGTTTGCTTCACATGTGAAAGCCTCTCATTCAGTCCCCAATACCACCCTCCCAAAAAAAGAAGAAGAAGAAAAATATCCTAAATAATTGATTTAGTTTACTGCATTTGGTTTTCTGTTTTATAACTAAGGCTGATTGAAATACGTTGATTTCTGTGTTTGATCACTAGTTTTAATTGGCAGTGAATCTGAAGGTTTTTAGGTAGGTAAAGTAGTTTTCACTTGGAATTACTTTTCTTTCTTTTGCTTTTCGCAGGTAATGGTAATTCTGGATTTGAAGGACAGAGTCGTTATGTACCATCTTCTGGAATGTCCGCCAAGGAACTCTGTGAAAATGATGACCTAGCAACCAGTTTGGTTCTTGATCCCTATTTAGGTTTTCAAACACACAAAATGAATACTAGGTAATTTTAAGTCTTTATCCTGAATGGAACAGATGATGATGCTAAATTCAAGAAAACAGAATGGCTAATTTTACTTTTGTTCAAAATTTCATACATTAAGAATGTTAAATGATACTAAAGCAAATTACGTGCTGCAGAACGGTTTTCTGCGCCTGCTGAGGGTCTCATCTGTTTTGGTTCTGTGCTCTTACTTTACCTCCGTCACAAAGCACAGCAGGAGTGGCCTCACGTGTTGCTTCCAGCACTGGTGAGGACTATATTAGCTAGAAGTAAGAGCTCACTGGCACCCTCTAAAGCCTTGAAAATGGATGCTTGCTATTTTCCAACTTAGGTTAAATCAGTTATTTTTCATGATTTTACTGGACTTTAATCCTTTTAAATAAATATAGGGAATTTGCCTCTATATTTAATCTCTGCAATTCAGCTAATCATTATAAATCAAGGAAATATTTATTTTAAATGATTATATTAGTATGCAGGTAAGAAACCATGTGTCTTTTGAGTGTCAAAATCTAAATATATATTTACATATTTTCATACATAAAATACTTAATACATTCATCTTGAAATTTCTTATCTTTTAACATCTGAGGTCTATAACTCCTTTATTCAGATTCTCTTAAATATTCTCTAAAAAGATCCTAGATCATTTCAAAATGGTTTCTGCCACCAAAGAGGCAGCCTTTGCCTTGTACCTCTTGTCCTCTGTGGGAGAGGGTGATGTATCTGGTGGGGTGTGAGCTAGCAGGGGCTTAGGATGGAGAGCCAGTCTGGGCTTGCCCCTCTCATCTCCATTGTACTCTCACTGGCATTTGTTGCCCATGTCTGTGACAGTCCAGGAGGAACTGGAAAGCCGGTAGATGGGCACACACAGTTGACAGGGGGACAGCTGACTGTAGGGAAGCTTGGGGTGTCTTTTTCCCCCCTTTAATTTTATCCTTTGCTGGAATTAAAATAAGACACTGTATGCTCCTCTTATCAATTATATTCTAAATCCAGAAAGAAAGAAATTAAGTAACAAGATGCCTTTGATATTTTCATGTTACTTCCTATAGCCATGTGTTTTTTTCTCACTAAAATAAAGTGAAATGTTGGATGGAATTCAAAGATTATTTAAATTGTTGCTTCCAGGTGACTGGTTGTTTTCTGGAAGATTATCAAGAGTAGATACCCTGATGTCCAATTAAGATCTAGTATACAGGGCTGGAGATATAGCTCAGATGGTAGAGTGCTTGCCTCGCATGCACAAAGCCCTGGGTTCAATCCCCAGCATCACCCAAAAAAAAAAAGTACATCAATTTTTAAGTCCATTTTCCTTTTTTTTTTTTTTTTTTTTCTTTTTTTTAATCGGATATAAAAGCCCAGTGTTCATTCTCCTCCTAGAAGATCCTGGTGGAATTTGAGTCACCTCTTAGCTCCCACCTTCCACCATTTTTCCTGAGTTAGGGAGTATAAATATGTGAACCACTTTTTGCACAGAAGTAGCCTTCTGGATGTCACTGTGAAGGCCCACAATGTTGGCCTGAAATCTCTTGAGAAAGTTATGTTGACTGCATTCTGTATACTGAGATATGAGAGCATATAAAATATTTTAAAAAGTTATCCCATCAAAATTATAACAAAAGTTTTAGTGGCTTATGAGAGAACTCTTCGAGTGCTTTATTCCAGAGGATGAAGGCTTATATCCTGGCTTTTGCAACAGGGGATACTCCACAGAGTTCTCCTAAGCCACTGATGCTTATCATTAGTTCTTATGTGAATCTTGTTAAAATGCAGGTTGACTCAGTAGCTTTGGGGCAGGGCCTGGGATTCTGCATTTCTAATAAACTCCCAGACCTCATTTAGAATAGCTATTAGGTCCTAATTCTGGCCTGTGAGTTTGGTTGTGATGTGATAAATGGATTAAAAGTGCCTCATGTATAGTTTCCAAAGGCTGGCTTAAAACGGTGTAGTCATAAAATGTGAAGTTCAGAGGGGTTGGAGATGTATGTAGCTCAGTAGTAGAGCACTGCTTAGCACATGTGAGGCCCCTGCGTTTGATCTCCAGCAAATAAATAAAATGTGAAGTTTGGGATGACTACACAAATATTAAAATACTGAAGTTAAAGTGCACCCTACTCCCACAGAAATTGAAGCATCTAAAATAAAAACTGGTTAAACAAGCTAAACCCACACACAAAAAAATTTATTCATATTTTAACAACATTTAATCACACTCACTGTTCCTAAAATAGCCTGGTATGGAGCAACCAGGCCTCCAGATCCTGGGATCGCACAGGTCAGCCTCTGCACTGTGCCAGCCCTGTGGCCGCCATGGTGCATGTGGTGACATCCCTTCCCCTGCCAGGGCTCTCAGGACTGTCCTTTTTGAGCTGACATTTGGGAATATACAGACTTGTGTGTGCATGCGCAATGCTGGGGATCAAGCCAGACCTCACATGTGAGGCTGGCGTTCTCCTCTGAGCTCTATCTCCAGACCCGCAGAAATTTTATTAATGAATATTGTTCATTTTAGTGAAAGATACAGATTGTAATTTAATCTTGGTGGGTAGACTTAGTTGAAAATAAAAGTATTCTTTTTGGCTATTCATCTTTTGAGCAAGAATATATGAGAATATTGATATAAATCATTTTCAGAGATATTAAGCTATAGAAAATAAGGAAAATAGATAAATGCTTTCCTGGAGCAGTTCATAAAATACTTCTTAAATTGTTGGCATTTGAAGACTTCTCAATCATTGTGTGCAAAGGAAGTATAACTGGAAGATGTACTAGATCTTGAATTTTAAATTCTCCATGCTATCTATATAGTAATTGTATATGAATGGTGTCTTTGTTTATGTTTATGCATCTATAATTTGACATTTTTTAGTTTCTCTTTTTTATGCCTTTGCCTCTCTTCTACTTCTTTCAGTGTACCTCCAAGAATAGTGTCTTAAAGCAGTATATGGGGCTGGGGCTGCAGCTCAAAAGAGGTTTTGCAGCTTGCCCAGCATGTGTGACCTGAGTGTGAGTGTGATAGCCAGCACCACCAAAAAAAAAAAAAAAAAAAAAAAAAATGTTGCCAGTGGTTGTGACCCAACACTTGGAATCCCAGCTCTTTCAGAGGCTGAGGCAGAAAGATCACAAGTTTGAAGCCAACACAGTTTAGCAAGAACATCTCAAAACGAGAAAAAGAAAAGGCCTGGGTTCCATCCCCTGTCCTGCAAACAAAACACAAATGTTTAATGATTTTAGAATTTCCAAAACTGGCTTTACTTTGAATAATTATGTTTAATTGTAATGTATTCCTATAGTTACCAACAAGTAGGTCATAGTTAGAGCATGAGTACTTATTACACATGAAATACTAATTTGAATTTATTGGGAAATGTTCATTTAATTGACTTGTCAGTTATGAAACTTAAATTCCTTTTTTTTTTTTTTCCTTTTGGTACTGGGGATTAGACTCAGGGGCACTCGACCACTGAGCACATTCCCCAGCCCTATTTTGTATTTTATTTAGAGACAGGGTCTCACTTGAGTTGCTTAGCACCTAGCTTTTGCTGAGTCTGGCTTTGAACTCGAGATCCTCCTGCCTCAGCCTCCCAAGCTGCTAGGATTACAGGTGTGCACCACCACACGTGGCCAATTAAATTCTTATTTTTAACAAGAGAATAGAATTGTTGATAATACCTCTGATTTTTTTTTAAAGGAGTTTGGGGCAAGATGTTACAAAGAAGGATGGGTGCTTTCACTTATGTTCCCTTGTTTAGGCAGTATGACCAAGTACAGGGGAGATGGAGGAGGAGACAGCTTTACAAAGCAAGAAAAATTGCCTCAGGGCACTTTTTTCTTTGAAACTTGTCTGGATGTTTTTTGCAATCCAGGTGTTGACTTGCATAGTCCTTACCCTCCCATCACTGTAGCCATCTGGGTTTTATTGTTGTTTATATTTGCATATTCATATCCACTGTTGGATATGAATTTATAATTTACTTTAAATATCACTTCCCAATTAGGTGCTTGAGTAAAATGCAAAATGAAGATTTTTAAACCTTCTAACTTAATCAATGGTAATATTGTATAATATGGGAAGAAAAGAATTTAAACCACCTGGCCTTGTTACCTTGTTGAGCTCATAAGGTTCTGAAATATCACTGTTTTAAGAAGTTTTACTACAACAAATACTGTGCCTGTTTAGAAATTACAGATTGTACAAATAGTTTTTTATTGTTGTTGTTTGTTTTTGCATTTATATAGCGCCTTTCCTTCGAGGAGCTCAAGGCATTTTTCAAAATCTGACAGTTTTCCTCACAACAACCCTGTGAGGTAGGTAGAGTGCACTACAAACAATAATAAGATACCAACTAACACATTCCAGCCTGTGTTTGCTGTTTAATGCTAAGTATTTTCAGATGTTCTAGAACATTTAGCAAACCTTTTTAAATAGTTTGGCCTTAGTTATATATTGTTTTAAAAACCACTTATACTTCATGACAGGGTAATTTTAGGAGAAACAAATCATTCATCAAAAGATCAGGAGTCACTGCATGGGATTAGCTGAGTTCTGATTGCAGGACTCTGCCAGGTATGTTTTTGGTTCCTGTTTATTTTTTAGGTCAAGAAGAAATGGAGCTGTGGTCCTGTGACTCTTCCTGTTCGTGTCTGCAGACTGGCAATTTGCAGTGAATCTTTCTTCAGAGGGGGAAATGTGTTCACTTTGTTGCCGCATGGTTTTCTTATTTTATATCTTAAATATTTGAGCATTTTTTTTCTCTCTCCTCCTCTCTCCTGCCCTTTCTCCTTCTTTCTGTCCCCCTTTCTTCCCCTGTCCCCTCCAGTCAACTCTTGATTGTACATAATAATGGAAGGGCACAGTAGTACAGCTAATACAAATCTACAACTTTTCTTCATTGCCACAGTGGTCTCTTGGGTTTGGAGACAGAAAAACCAAATAGCAAGAAAGCCTGGAAAGTCAGTCTCTGGAGAGAGTGGGGAACAGGTGTGTGGGAGTGTGAATTCATGTTTTTCCCCCTGCCTTTTTAAATAATAGCTAATTGTAAATAATGTATTTTTAATTTCTTATAACAGCCATTAGTCAGAGGTGTGGAAAGAGAAAAATAAATATGTTTAGTTTATTTAAAGTAGTAGATTGTGTATTATGCAAGGGTGAAGGGGGCATATTGATTTGGAAATGCCAAATAACTCTTTCTCTTACCTCCCCTGCCAACTCCCTCGCACTAAATTGAAAATCCATATTGGCAGCTGTCCCTTCCCTTGTGTTGTCAGGACACAGCCAGAGCTGCTGCTTGCTGGGCTCAGTGGCAAAACAAGTCAAATCCTCCTCTAACGTGCAGTGACACAAGAGGGCTCCCCCAGGCCAAGTGGCAACAGAACAGGAAAGTCCCAGCTGTCCTGTGAATTAACCCCGCATCCTTGGCCAACTACTTAGCTTCACTGGGCCTTATTTTCCTCATTTGTGGAACAAAAGGATTACCCTAGATAATCTGTACTTTTTCCCCCCTAGCTTTAAGTATCAGGGTATTAGAATAGCTTTATGCAATTTATATGGGAATTTAGAGCTATTATGGGTGAGAGAGGGTATTTTTCTGTTTACTAGTAGAAAATAATTTTTTTTTTCTAATGTCCTCAGTGACTATTGCCCTGGGCCCTAATAGCTATAACAGTCCTATTTTGTTAAGTAATTTTCATTTCTTAAAGTATTTGTTATAATGGGATTTGACATGTAGGTTTGTTGGCCAGGTGGTTTTTATATACCCCTACAGGATTATTGAAAACAAGTATGTCTTCCTCTGCCTGCCTGTACCCAAAACCATCTCCTTCCTCCTTTTTCCTCTCATTTCATGCCTATAGCAGTGAACTATAACAGTAGGTTTTAATACTTTGGGAACAGCAGATATGCCTTTTAAGTGAATAAGGTTTAAGGTAGCAAGGGATCTTTTATGGGTTTTGATCATGTCTGAGGCAATGCAAATCCAAAAAGCAAACAAAAGTCCTCTTGAGAGAAGTAGAAGGCAGGATATTATTAAATAGTTGATTATTTTCTATTGGTTTTAGCATATAAATTGTTTGGTGTTGTGAACAAAGGATAAACAAAATTAAGCATGCCTGAAACACATTTTTAGGTAGAGAAAGGAGTGTGTTTCAGAAATTAGAGAAAACACAAAGCAGGCTGGGCTTGTGGCTTAGTGATAGAGCGCTTGCCTACCATGTGTTAAAGCACTGGGTTTGGTCCTCAGCACCACATAAAAAAAAGTTATTGTGTCCATCTATAACTAAAAATATTTTAAAAAAGAAAGAAAACACACAAAACCTATTACAGATTTCCACTATCCTCTCCGGATCTGTTGTTTTTCTATAATGTTCTTACAACCTTTTAGGGTGAGTTTACCCCTGACTTCCTTTGTATAATTATTTTTAAACAGTGTCACCATTGGTCAGTTCCACATCAAACCCATAAAGATAGCTTGGTCATTGGGTGTGGTGGCATCTTCCCGTAATCTCAGCAGCTCAGGAAGTTGAGGCAGAAGGATCACAAACTGCCAACCTGGGCAACTTAGTGAGATCCTGTCTCAAAGAAATAATAAAATGAAAAGGGCTGGGATGTGGTAGAGCTGAGCTGTGTCAGTGGTAGAACCTCCCTGGGTTCAGTCCCAAGACTGAAGGGGAAAAAAAAGAAAAGATGGCTTGCCTCTCTGTTGTTTGTAGTCCTACCACTTAACATAGGGGTAATTTATTGCATTTGCTCAGAGTGATCAATTGCTTTTCTGATTACTGTGCAAAACATAGATTATCTGTTTCCCACCATTTCATGTTTTATGTTGCTTGTAGTGTTGTTATGCCTTAGCCAGCAACTGCTTTGTTTTCACTTATCTGTTCTTGATTTGCAAACCACCCTTTAGTGTAGGGTTTCAGCAAGAATGGTTTAGCTTGGGTTTCTTAGAGCTCTTACTTTAACAAAGTTGATTGTGATAGCTATACAGATAAGTAGTTTAATATGGACACTCGCAGTTCTGCATCTCTTCAGGTAATTTAGTTGTGGCTCTCCATCACCATATTCTGACACCCTAAAGAAACATTATGAATTGTTTAAAGGACTTGTGTTCATCTCTTTTTGAGGATCTGTATACTAATGAAGTTCAACTGGAAAATAAAGGTGCCATCTCCTTCCCTTCTGTAGGATATGTATAAACTCTTAAGGTACTTGTGCTTAAGAGCAGTGAGAGTGCAGAGCTACTGAGACAGAATCTGTAGCTAGGAAGTTTCTAGTGTTGTCAGTATTTATTAACACACCTGAAGTCCTCTAGAAATCCTGTCCTGGAAACAGTATTAGACTTATCCTGGACTTCGTCTCTTCCCTCTTCCTGCTTCTTGTACTTCAGTATTGCTAGCCAGTTAACTCTGTCAGCTGTTGGAATCCAGCTTTATTAAGACATCTGCTTAGACTTTCTCTTTCTCTGCCTTCCCTTTGATTCCTTCCTGCCTGTAATATTGTGCTTTTTCTTTAGTAAGCTAACTCCACTTTTTTCATTGCTCACACTACTGTCAACTTAAAAACTTTTCCCAAACAAATCTTGTACTTTAGTTAGAATTTTCAAACTTTGAAGGGCTGTGGCAGCACAGTTTCTATCATTATTAACATGCATTTGCATGCCACTGCCTTGCTTAACTATTGGATGCATATTTATATCTTTCATTCCCTTAATTTCCCTTTCAAGAACAGTGGCCAGCCGGGCACACGCCTGTAATCCCAGTGCCTTGGGAGGCTGAGACAGGAGGTTCGCGAGTTCAAAGCCAGCCTCAGCAACTACGAGGCACAAAGCAACTCAGTGAGACCTTGCCTCTAAATACAAAATAGGGCTGGGGATGTAGCTTAGTGGTTAAATGCCCCAGAGTTCAATCCCTGGTACAAAATGAAAAAGAACAGTGGCGGTAGCTGGGCGAGGTGGTGCATGCCTGTAACCCCAGTGACTTGGGAGGATCATGAGATCACAGCCAGCCTCAGCAAATTAGCAAGGCCTTAAGCAACTCAGTAAGACACTGTGTCTAAATAAAATACAAAAAAGGGCTGGGGATGTGGCCCAGTGGTCAAGTGCCCCAGAGTTCAATCCCTGGTACAAAATTAAAAAGAACAGTGGCCACATCCTCTGTCATTTCACGGGCAGCTGTGTATAGAGCACCTAATAATCCTTGGCAAATATTGTGGCTTATAATCTTAATGAAATGCTAATGAATACATTTGTGATGGCTTATCTAGGAAGAAATGTTGCTGAGTGCTTCCTTTGCTTGAAGCAAAGATCTTATCTTTCCAAATCTTATCTCTGTTTTAGCATTTTTAGGCTCATGAGATGCATAGCTTTAAATGTTAAAGTGTGTAGTTCAAATTTTTTTTTTTCCTGAGCCAGTAATATTTTTTCTTCTGGGGGGAGTGGGTACCAGGGATTGAACTCAGGGGCACTCACCACTGAGCCACATCCCCAGCCCTGTTTTGTATTTTATTTAGCGACAGGGTCTTACTGAGTTGCTCAGGGCATTGGTAAATTGCTGAGGCTGGCTTTGAACTTACGATCCTCCCATAGCCACTGGGATTACAGGTGTGCACCATCGTGTCCAGCTTATTTTTTCTTAATATATTTTATTTGAATAGCCCTGTGTAATCCTTTTTCTGTTGCATGTTTGTTTTTTTAAATAACCTTTATTTGAGAAAGTTTGCTAAATGAAATTGTTCATGTGAAGAAATTTTGACCCAAAGGTCATGGTGTACAGCTTCAGAATGAGGGGCTCATACAAACTTCAGTCTTCACAGGGACTAGAATTATCTCTGATTTGGCTCGTGCTGAGCAGGAGCATGTCCTGAGGTCCTTAGGGCTGATTACATCTGGAGCTTTTTTTGGTGCCACCACACAGTTCGTACAAGCATGGTGGTTTCCCTGACAGTTATACTTCCTGTGCTTTCCTTCTCCTCTGGATGCAGGGGTCAGTATCATCTGGGGAGGTTAGAAGGTCAGGACGTATTTGAAGACCTGTGGGGATACTTACATTGGGGTTTTTCTGAGTGGGCTTTTCTACGTTTTTGTTTTGGCATGATTTTGTTTGCTTTATCATACTTCTGAAACACATTTCCTTGCACTCTTCCTGTTTGATTCTGCATGTTTTAAAATTTTTCTGTCATTCTAACTTTGAATTAGACATGCTCTATTCTAGATCTTTCATTGTATTCCTTCTAGAGTGATGACTAGTATAAACCAGAAGTAGACAGCTTCTGTCGAGTCATGTGGTCACCTCCTAGTTAATGAGATAACTGAATTAAAAATATTAAAACATAGGCTGGGGATACAGCTCAGTTAGTCGAGTACTTGCCTTGCATGCACAAAGCCCTGGGTTCAATCCCCAGCAACACACACACACACATAAATAACTATATGTAAAAACAGGGTTTGAAAGGATAGTAGGATGACAGAATGAACACACATCATTACCTTAGGTATGTATATGATTGCATGCCCAATGTGGTTCTACAACATGTACAATAAGAAAAAAATGAGAAATTATACCCCACCTATGTATGCTATATCAAAGTACATAAATGCATTCTGCTGTCATGTGTAACTTAATTAAAACAAAGTTTAAAAAAAAAAAAAAACATGGTTTGAAGGAAGAGATGTTATATTTCTCCGTGTTAAACATAGTGATTGAACACTAATTCTCAAGATTCTGATTGTTTTCTTCTGTTAGAGCTTTGCTTTGATAACCATGGCTGCTTTTAGGGTATTAGCTCTTTTCTCAGGATTTTTTTTTTTTTTTTTTTAATGGTGCTGGGAATTGAACTCGGGGACTTGTGCATGTGAGGCAAGCACTCTCACTCTACCAACTGAGCTATGTCCCCAGCCCAAGATCTTTTCTTTTTTGGTATAGGGGATTAAACTCGGGGGCACTCGACCACTGAGCCACATCCCGTCCTATTTTGTGTTTATTTAGAGGCAGGGTCTCACTGAGTTGCTTAGCACCTCGATCTTGCTGAGGTTGGCTTTGAACTCACAATCCTCCTGCCTCAGCTTCCCAAGCCACTGGGATTACAGGCGTGTGCCACCACAACTGGCTCAGGAGCTTTTAAAATGGAACAGTGGCCCAAAAATTGTGGCAGATAACTAAGCTTATTATTTTGATTTCTTTCAGATTTCGGCCAATTAAAGGAAGGCAAGAAGAACTAAAGGAAGTAATTGAACGTTTTAAGAAAGATGAGCACTTGGAGAAAGCCTTTAAATGTTTGACTTCAGGTGAATGGGCACGGCATTATTTTCTCAACAAGAATAAAATGCAGGAGAAATTATTCAAGGAACATGTAAGTTTATTAAGATTAATGATGTTAACCTCTTTGGATAAAATTGTAGATCTTACTAAATCCTGGGTATTGGTGGACACTGACATTTTAGATCCATTTTTCATAAAAACTAGTAAGTATGGAAGTCTGCTGACAAATAACATCATTTGGATGACTACTCAAGAGAAAACTTTGTCTTCTGGGAAGTGAAGTTTAGAGGAATATAGCCAAGTTACCAGGTACTAAAATATATAAAACTGAAAGGTAACAGTGAAGTTTGTCACTGAATGACCTTACGCTTTTCACATGGTTGCCATGGTGTGCTTTTATAATTCTGAAAAAGCCTACAGGATACATAATTTACAGTCATTATCATTTTTTTTTTTCCTATTTTAGGTATTTATTTACTTGCGAATGTTTGCGACTGACAGTGGATTTGAAATACTGCCTTGTAATAGATACTCATCAGAACAGAATGGAGCCAAGATAGTTGCAACAAAAGAGTGGTAATTATTATTACCCATAATAGCCTAACCCATAAAGTAACTTTAAGATCTCTTAAATTACTCGTGTCATGCTAAGGAAGTCTGGGTAAGGGTTGAGGCCAGCATTTCCCCTAAAGGAGCCAGTGCAGTGCCATTACTCTGCCTGCTGACTAGAGTCAGGGTGACAGAATCAGGTCTGAGTGATCCGGGTCCCACCTCTGGGCTAAAGTGCTGTCCGTTTTCCTATGTTGTATGGAGCCTCCATGGGGAGGAGATTGCTGCAAGGCTGGGGGTGCCCGGGGTATAACCTGGCTCCAGAGCCAACCTTTCACTGTCTTAGAGGAAAGACTGGAAGTAAAGTCTTAATCATCCTAGGTGGAAATGATAGAAACATCCTCATGTGTTACCTGTTTTAAAAAAAAAAAATATATATATATATATATATATATATATATATCAGCTTAAATTAAAGTAGTAGAGCTATAGCCAGGCACCATGGTACACATCAGTAATCCTAGTGACTCAAGAGGCTGAGAAAGGAGGATCACAAGTTTGAGGCCAGCCTCTGTAATTTTGTGAGACCTTGTCTCAAAAAGGGCTGGGAATGTGGCTCAATGGTAGAGTACCCTGGGTTTAGTCCCCAGTGCTGCCAAAAGAAAAGAGTAGACTTGAGCCTACTTGGGAGGGCTAAAAGCCATAGATGAAATTTTAAGTCAGTTTTTATAAAACTTGGTGTGAATATCTTGTAACACAAGGTGATTTGGATGTCTATTCAAGAGAGATCCTGGATGGTGGGCTCCAGCTGGTGGCTCCACTTTCTGGGTCCTTGTGACCCTTTATTGCCACTAGTCCCTGTCTGCTTCATCCTGAGGTCCACAAATTTTGTGCACGCAGCAGAAGTTTGAGCACTTTCTGCCCATGAAATATTATACCAGGTGCCACAGGTGCTGCTGGAGGTTCAAGAGACAAGGGGCACAATTCCTGTCCCCCAGGGGTTTCCTTTCTCTCCTAGGAATAAGGCTGATGACAAGTAACCATGGTCCCAGCTGTGGGGCTCCAGGGGGAGATACCCAGGTGGGGTCCAAGTATACACAGGGCCCCTCAACTTATAGTGTTTATTGGCAGGCTAATTTTATTAAAAGAAGCCTTATTATTTATAATTACTAGTAATTTTTAACACATCACATATTTCAAATAGGAAACGAAATGACAAAATAGAATTACTGGTGGGTTGTATTGCCGAACTTTCAGAAATTGAGGAGAACATGCTACTTAGACATGGAGAAAACGACTTCAGTGTCATGTATTCCACGAGGAAAAACTGTGCTCAGCTCTGGCTCGGTCCCGCTGCGTTCATAAACCATGGTAAGCTGCACTTCCAGGGTGTCTGCTCTGGTGTCGGGCAGTCCCGCCAAGTTAGTGGGGCCTCACCACACTCAGTGAAACCTCCTCTTTAAGGGAGAGTTCTAATTAAGAATTCTTTTTTCACAAACTTATTAAATATTCCTAGTTTGACTTGAGACCTAAACTTCTATCAGGAATTACAAAGTTGTCTGAAAAACCTTTTCAGATTTCTGTAACTGTTCGTGTTTCAGATCTTATCAACAGTTAATTGACTTTCTCTTTTGGACATTTTTCAGATTGCAGACCTAACTGTAAGGTAAGCATTAAAAAAAAAAATGGATATATATATATCTATCTATCTACCAGTATTTTGTTTCTGCCTGGGTGTCAGACTCTTACTGAGTTACTTATATTTCAGTTTGTGTCAACTGGTCGAGATACAGCATGTGTGAAGGCTCTAAGAGATATTGAACCTGGGGAAGAAATTTCTTGTTATTATGGAGATGGGTTTTTTGGAGAAAACAATGAGTTCTGCGAGTGTTACACTTGTGAAAGGTAAAGTATTAAATAAGATTTTCAGCTTAGATGTTCTTTTAGCTATCTGATGGTTATTGGTATAACTCTTATTGTTTCTTTATATCTTAAATGCGGAGATAGATTTTTATATTATGTAGCTCCCAGTGTAAAGTATGTAAACAAAATCAAATGATGTGCAACTATTTAGGGACACTGGCACCTGTCCCTTTAAAATCTTCATATTACCAGCTGTGACAAGTGGGTCAGGATACAGAAGTGCTTAAGGAAAGATTGGATATTAGTACACACTCGTGCACACATGCAGTGCCAGAGTGGGCCTCCCAAAATGGCAAGTGTAGTTCTGCCTTAGAAGGCATGTAAAAACCCTGAGGTTGCCTTGCATATCATCAAACTGTGTCTTCTGGAATTTTTGTTTTGATGTACATACTATTCACAGTCCCTGGGTTCCCTGCTGACACTTGGTGAGCAACCTCTTTATGACCCATCAAGATTGTGGGTCCTGCTGGGCACTGTGGTGCCACTCCTGTAACCACAGCGACTCAAGAGGCTGAAGCAGGAAGATAGCAAGTTCAAGGTCGGTCTCAAGTACTTTGCAAAGCCCTGTCTCATTGGTAGAGTACCCCTGGATTCTGTATTCAGGACCAAAAAAAAAAAAAAAAGATTCTGTGTTGTGGGCTGGGGCTGGACAGCTCAGTGTTAGAGCACTTACTACTGAGCATGTTGAAGTCCCTACAATGGATCCCACCAATTTAAAAAAAAAAATGGGGTCCTTTTGGAAATTCTCAAAGTCTACTTCAGCAGGACTGGCAGCTTGTGCCACTTGTGTAGTGACTTCTGTGAACTGGAACTCCTGGGAGATAATGTCAAAGCTGGTGTAGGCAGGGCCACAGGAGGGTCCTCTTTCAAGGAGATGCCACATGCACAGCCACACAGGGAGAGAGCCTGTCTGATTTCAACCTCTGCTGGACCCCGGACTCACCCTCCCTCCTTCAGTCCTCACAGCTCTCCTGTGAGAAAATAGCAAGTGACCCAGTCCACTGACTCTGGTGGAGTCCTCATGCTTTCCACTTCCTGTTGCTTTTGTAGGTAGGACCTATTTATTAGCACCACTGCTCTCTCTTAAAATAGCCAGCCTAGGGAAGAGAGGGCAGAAGCCCCTCACATTACCCCCTCATTGGGGTCTCCACCAGTAATGAGAGAGGGCTGGGTTATAATTCCACCCTGGCCCTTTCTCTCCCAGCTTTGGGCTCCTTGCCACAAAGGGATAGTTGAAAACCTGTTCCTAATGTTGCCAAAAGCCAGGGCACAGGGGGGGTGGGCATACAATTTATGTTTTAACATTAAAAGTGATTCAAGGAGCTAGGGTTGTGGCTCACTGGTAGCGTGCTCACCTTGCATGCATGAGGCACTGGGTTTGATCCTCAGCATCACATAAAAATAAAGACAATAAACTCCATCAGAAACTAAAAAAAAAAAAAAAATTTTTAAAGTGATTCAAATGTTAGATCTTAGACCTCCACAAAAATATTCTCTAGGCCCTGGGGTCTTGGCTCAGTGGTAGAGTGCTTGCCTAGAATGTTTAGGGTTCGATTCTTAGCACCACATATAAATAAATAAAGATCCATCGACAATTTAAAAAAATAAAAAGTAAATATTCTCTAATCCATGAAGTCTATTGGGAGGGGGGGTGCCAGGGATTTAACTCAGGGGCACTTGGTCACTGAGCCACATCACTAACCCTATTGTATTTTTTTTAGAAACAGTTCTCACTGACTTGCTTAGCACCTCGCCGTTGCTGAGGCTGGCTTTGAACTCGTGATCCTCTTGTCTCAGTCTCCTGAGTTGAGTTATAGGTGTGCACCACCATGCCTAGCCCATGAAGTCTTTTAATTATAGAGAAAGCAGAATGAAGCTCACTTATGGGCCTGTGATCTGGAGCCACAATGCTGGAATCAGAACCCTGCAGCTCTGCATGTCATTAGCCCTGAGGTGATGGCATGTTACGTAGCTCCCTGGGCCTTCATTTTCCCCATCCATAAAATGAGAACAGCATAATATTTCATAGGGTTGTTTTGGGGATTAAATTTGTTATTTGACATAATACATGTAGAACAGCACACAGTTAACACACAAAAAATGTTAGCTATAAAATTATTTTGTGTTTTCTGGTTATTATATTTTAAAATACAAGCTGTATGAAGGCAGGAACTTTATCTTCTTCATCTACTGCCATGTATACAGAACAGTACCTGGTACATAGGTGCTTGATAAGTATTGGGAAAATGAATGAATGAATGTAATAAATAAATACGATGAATAAGTTTTTGGAAGCTGTCCTTAAAAACCCTAACCATATATTCAGGATTCCAAAATAACACAAAACAACTCTTTACCTGGTGTGTGGGAGGGTTGTTTTGGTGTTCTTTGTTTTTGTTTTTTTTCCTCTTTTTTTTTTTTTTTAAGAGGCCAAGTGTGGCTGTATTCCCAGGCTGGTCTCCAGGTCCTGTGCTCAGTCCGTCAGTCCTCCTACCTCAGCCTCCCAAATGACTACACTACAAGCACCACTCTGCCCAGCCTCTGTACCCATTCAGAACTACATGGTTGGTCATGTTCTTTGGGCAGATTAGTTCTCCCTCAAGAGCCATGATTTCCTTCCCAGTCAGATGCAGTGATTCCACAGCTTAGGGTGAGAGGGAGGTGGAAAAATGTGAGAGCCTTTCTAGGGAATGGCACGCTACAGAACATGGCATGGCTGTTGTCAGACCAAGCAGTTTGGCTCAAAAGTTGGCTGGGGATGTAGCTCAGTTGATAGAGTGCCTGCATGCACAAGGCCCTGGGTTCAGTCCCCAGCACCACAAAAAAAAAGAAAGTTGGCTGCATGTGTTCCTGAGATTCTCAGTAACACCACATTGTTTCTGCCTTTACAGAAAGTGACTGGGGAGATGAGACTAAAGGAACTCATTGAATAATTCATCAGATAGTAACAGTAGTGCAGGAGAAACGAGACTAGCACAGGGCCTGCTGTCAAAGCAGCACAGTGAAAAAGGCAGGGACTTGTGTGCTGAGAGCCCAACTGGGCCAAGAGCTCACTCCAAGGAAACCAGAGTGAACAGAGCGAACGGATTTCACTCTAAACATTTGAAGGATAGAATTTGATAAAGACCTAAATCAAAGGTGCTGTGAGCCAGGTGCAGTGGTACATGCCTGTAATCCCAGTGACCCAGGAGGCTGAGGCAGGAGGATTCCTCAGCAATTTGGTGAAACTTCATCTTGAAATAAAAAATAAACACAGCTGGGAACATAGCTCAGGGGTAAAGTGTCCTAAGTTCAATCCCCATTACCACACGGGGGAAAAAGGAATGCCAGGCACAGTGTTGCACTTCTATGACCCCAGCAGCTCAGGAAGCTGAAGCAGGAGGATCGTAAGTTCAGAACCAGCCAGCAACTCAATGAGACCCTGTCTCAAAAAAATATAGATATAAAAAAAATGGATTGGGGAATGAGGCTCAGCGGTTAAGCTCCCCTGGTACCAAAGGGAGAGAGAACTCTGATCTTACCTATAAAGTCTTAAAAATTTTAAGAATATTACTCCTTCCCTATTTAGTATATAAATTGTTTGGGACTTTAAGCATTTTGCTTTTGGAATTGGTCAAAATTATTTTAAAGCTGATATAAAAGTGTTTTTTGAAAGCTAAAAAAAAAAACAAAACAAAACTGGCATGTGAGGGTAAGCCGGGCATGGTGACCTTGACCTGTAATTCAGTACACCTGTACTTGGGAAGCTCAGCAGGAGGGTCAGAGGTTTGAAGCCAGCCTGGGCAACGTAGCTAAAGCTTGTCTAAGAATAAAATAGAAAGGGCCAGGGTGTGGCTCAGTGGTGGAGCACTTGCTTACTTGCAAGGCCCTGGATTTAGCCCACAGTAAGCAAAAAGAAGAATGTTAGGGGACAGTTACCTTAACAGATGGCAAAATTTGTTATTAAATAATCAGGGCTAGGGTTGTGGCTCAGTGGTAGAGCACTTGCCTTGCATGTGTGAGGCACTGGGTTCAATTCTTACCACCATATACAAATAAACAAATAAAATAAAGGTCCATCAATGTCTAATAAAAATTTTTTTTAAAGTAATAATTATTATAATCAAACTTGATTATGATGGCTCAGAAATGGACAAATAAGAGAACATGGATGGAGTCCTGAAATGGAGACAAGTATAGATTGAGATCTTAACATATATTGGGAAACAATTGTTTCTTTTATAGGTAATGTTAGTCTGATTTAATATACTTCCGGAGGGGAAATCAAGCCATAACACATCATATATGTAATAAATTCCTATTGTATTAGAATCTAAAATTTAAATAATACAATATAAAAATACTAGAAAAACAATTTAGGAGAGCACAATGAAGGTCTTCTTGAAGACAGTAAGGCAAGAAATGCGGAATCCAAAGATGTTTGAATGGCCAAAATAAAGTCCACACTGTATGATTTACTGAAGGAAAATAAAATATCTATGTGGCAAAAAGTTAAAATCCTAACAACAAAAAGCATCTCCCAAGGAAAGAAAGTCTGACGGGAAAAAGGTAAAGGAAGAAGAGGTTCTGCACAGAAAGAGATGGCCACAAGCAAGGAAATTAGTATATTTGAATAATTAGGAATTATTCAAATATACTATGACTAATTAGGTATTCATTTTCCCTCAATAAATTGGGAAAATTCAAGAAACAAAATTACCCCTAGTGAGGATGTGAAGAAACAGGTACCTAGATGGTGCTAGTAGGGTCATGAGTTGCTGGAACCTTGGGGAAAGTACTCTGGCAGTGTGTATTAAGAGGCAAACCCTGTCCCCAGCGGTCCCATGTTCAGGAGGAATTCAGCCTGAGAAATAGGAGCACCCATGGGTAAGGATTTGGTTTCCAAGAATAGTAGAACAGCAGTATTTGCATAAGAAAGAATATTAAAACAGTTTCATTGATCACCTCTGAGGAACTATTGAATAAATCCTGGAATGTTAATGAAAATATGCAGCCTTCAAAGTTCGCCACCAGGGCCAGGGTGCCACTTACAGGAACAGTGCCTACCTGGCATGAGTGAGGTGCCTACCTGGCACACACAAAAGAAAAAACCCAAAACCTGTATGCTCAGTGCAGATTTGTCCGTGATTGATGTAATGATAGAATTTTTTTAGACTTTTTTTAATTTTTAGTTTTTTAGGTGGACACAATAGTTTATTTTTTTTTTTTAAAGAGAGAATTTTTTTTTTAATATTTATTTTTTAGTTTTCGGGGGACACAACATCTTTGTTTGTATGTGATGCTGAGGATCGAACCCGGGGCCGCACGCATGCCAGGCAAGCGTGCTACCGCTTGAGCCACATCCCCAGCCCCACAATAGTTTATTTTTATGTGGTGCTGAGGATTGAACCCAGAGCCTCATGTATGCTAGGCAAGCGCTCTACCACTAAGCCACAGCCTTAGCCCCAAGTAAAATATTTTTTAATATTCAGATATTTTGGTTTTGTTGGCTTGAAAAGCAGCAGTGATATAAAGAGTTGTGTAGGACAGGAAAGGAGTGGAGGAGTGGGAGGGCGGTGCTGCCGGGGTGCCTAGGAGGCTGCTCCCCTTTGCTTTGTGGACAGCCTCGGATTGCCTTACTTGTTGCAGCAAGCATGATTTCATAAGTTAAAAAGAAGTAAGATTGTAGAATACAAGTGAGTGTGAAAGTTTACTGTTTAAAAAAAAAACTAATTTCAGAAGTTCCAACACTGCTTATTATTGCTATTGTGTTATACTTCACTCTCTTTTTTTTGTTTGTTTGGGTAGGTGGGTAAGTGTGGGTGTGTGGAACTGGGGATTGAACCTGGGGCACTCTAACGTTGAGCTACATCCCCAACTCTTTTTTATTTTTTATTTTGAGGCAGGATCTCACTGAGTTGCCAAGGCTGGCTTGGTACTTGAGATCCTCATGCCTCAGCTTCCTGAGTCCCTGGGATTATGGGCGTGCATCACTGCACCTGTTATATATCCTGGAAACCAAATCATAATTTACAGCTGCTCTTATTTCTACAGGATGGATTCTTCCCCAACGTGGGACCGCCAGGGACAGGGTTTGCCTCTTTTTAATACACACTGCCAGATTTCTTTCCCTAAGGTTCTAGCAATTCATGGCCATTAGCATTTGTGTTCAAGTGTATTTTATATATATATACATGGGCACAATATCTTTATTTTATTTATGTTTATGTGGTGCTGAGGATCGAACTCAAAGTCTCACACATGCGAGGCAAAGCCCTCCATCACTGAGCCACAACCCCAGCCCTCAAGTGTACTTTTAAGTATGTCCTGTCTTTCTAGTCATGAACTAAAAATATTAACAAGTTATGGTTTAGAAAAAAATCAAAATCATAGAGTGTCTGAAAATAATTTCTTTTTCAATTGCTATGGACTGAGCCTTTAGGGCTTACACACATGCATTCTAAATGTGTCTTAGGATGAAGTGGCGTGGGCCTGGTTGCTGCTCTGGTGAAGGTTTTTCTTTCTTTTTAATGATTTTTTTTTAATTGTCAGTGGACCTTTATTTGTTTATATGTGGTGCTGAGAGTCGAACCCAGTGCCTCACACATGCAGGGCAAGCACTTTACCACTGAGCTATGACCACAGCCCACCTGGAACTTTTTACAGTGATTTCTATCCCACTTTTGAAAAAATAATTGAGGCAATTTCACAATCAGTTTTTAGTTGTTTTTACAATAGCGTTAGTCAAAATTGCTGTCTAAAGTGGATTTTAAATCCTAGTAAGAATGTTAACCTTTACTTACCAAAAACAACAACTATGTTAGGTTCAAATCTGTGCTTTCCCAGTACTTAGGGCCAGGGGGCAGGAAGAGAAATAAAATGTATATTGTTCCTTAGCAAAAGTAAAACACACTACTTCTTTGGGGGAGGAATATTATTTTTTTCCTTCATCCAAATTCTGGAAGAAATGCATCGGTCACATGGGACTTGCAGAGGACAGTTAGCAGTGCTCACTTGATGGGGAGCATTCCTCCCCATCCCCCCACCCCCACCCCAGGAATTGTTGCTTAACCACTAAGCCACATCCCCAGCCCTTTTTTAATGTTTGTTTTTTGAGACAGGGTCTTGCTAAGTCCTTAGGGCCTCACTATGTTGCTGAGGCTGGCCTCAAACTTGTGATCCTCATGTCTCAGCTTCCTGATTTGCTGGGATTACAGGTGTGTGCCACTGCAACACAATTTTGTCACAAGTTCAGAAGCTATATTATATGACATTCTATTGACAAGGTAAGGCCACAAAAGGGCAAAATGATTTTGGCCAAAGAAATTTCTCTGTTTTTTTTGTTTTGTTTTTGATACCACATGTAGTCTTCTGTTTAACATTGTTAATTCATAATAGAACTGAGTAGAGACTTGCCCTTGATATACTGACTAAGCAAAGATTTGCACAACCAGATTTAGGCAGTCTAGGGAGACTCCTACCAACCACATGCATTTATTGCAGAAGAATCATATAAATATGTTGAGGAAAGGTGTCCACTAGTTAAAGTTAAGTCTTTTAAATGTCTTTAATTTAGTAACAGTTTATTAATTTAATTATGATTGTTCATATTAATTTGATAATTTAAGGGAACTACTTAACTGTTTTTATTCTTCCAAGAGACAGATATTCACTAATAATACCCTCACCTTTTTACATAGAATTTCAGTCATAATTTGTGTGCATATATAACATCTAAGTTCTAGGCATTGACTTAATTTATGGAAATTCTGTGCTTTTTAAAAATTTCCGAATTCTTAACATTCAGTTAATGTAGTGCTAAGTGGCACATAGCAAAGTTAAAATTAACATTTTAGTCTACACAGAAGGCTAGTAGATTTTCATAGTAGGCAATTTGCAGTCGATTGACAACAGTCACAACAAGTGATTTTTGTTCTGATAAGCATAGTTTTTAATGTTAATTTTATTAGTTACCTAATGAGCCTCCTAGACTTGGCACTTATCCAGTGGTGGTCAGAGCCTCACCAGGTCTCACCATTGAGCCCACATGGCCAGGTGCTCCCTGCAGCCAGGCCCGCTGTGAATTTGTGCACTCCATTCACTGAACTTGTGCTGTTTTCTCTTACAGACGAGGAACTGGTGCTTTCAAATCCAGAGTGGGACTGCCTGCGCCTGCTCCTGTTATCAATAGCAAATATGGACTCAGAGAAACAGATAAACGCTTAAATAGGCTTAAAAAGTTAGGTGACAGCAGCAAAAACTCAGACAGTCAGTCTGTCAGCTCTAACACTGATGCAGATACCACTCAGGAAAAAAACAATGCAAGTAAGTAAGGGAGATTTGATAAGATGCCTTTTTTTTTTTTTTTTTTTTAAGTATTTTCACAAAATTTGCTTTCTAAAGCATGCTTCAGTAGTTTCGAACTTCTAAATATTGAGAGAAACTGGGACTCATGAGCTTCAGCAGCCCTGCAAGGTTCTAGAAATGGTTTGAGTACAGAGCACAGTTGTGCCCACCTCCAGATTCAGTGCCGTACTCTAGACTGTTCTTTTGAATACTTGGTAACTGGATATTGAATTCTTCATCATATATTCCAGGATCATCATGTGTTTGAGGAAAACATTTTCAAAGTGTTAGTGACTCTGTCCTATTGGTGTCGTTAGGCCCTGCAAGAAGACAAGGGACCGGGTAAATTGTACAGGCTCACATGTGTCCAGTGTCCAGCAGTCTGTTAGGAACAGGTGATGGACTTGGGAGTTCCTAGCTTCTGGCCTCAAGACTTCCACCTTTTTACTACTCACTTATCTTTTTCAAAATGAACTGACTCAATTCACCAAACCACCAGAATAGACTCACAATCGTGCCTGAGGAGCACTCGGATGTGGCCATGTTGTGGCACGTTGGGTTCACGCCACAGAAAGTAGGAAGAAAGATGGAAAGAGAAAGAAGCAAGCTTTGAAAACCAGTTGTATTTGGGGGCAAGATCTGATAGAAGCTGGAAAAAGGGTATGAAGAACAAACAAAAAGAAAAGGAAGAAAAGAAAACCTAAACAGGCAGAGGACAGCACGACGTGTGAGGAGCTCTGAAGTGCTGGAACATGACACTGCTGTCATCGTCTGGGTAACACCTGTGTTCTCTAGGTGCCACTACAGTGGTGGGCTCTTTGGCCTGCCTTGTCTCTGACAGAGATGGCTACTGGAAGGGTTTGACTTGGTGGTCCCCAAAGTCTCCTGTGCTGGCATCTTAATGACAGTACGACTTGCAAGCACTTAGGAAATACCTGAGGTGCTGGGTATCTTAGGCTCTCCCACGCCTCGGCTACTCCCTCCCAGACAGAAAACCCTGAAGAAAGGGGTAAATTGAATGTCACTGCCACGGATTCCTGAATCTACCTGCTGCTGGGAGTCAGAGGCCAGGTGTGACCTCTGTAGTGTAAAAGTAACAGTATAGTTCTGGTCCAGACTTTTTAGTTAATGTTCAGAGTGAGCAAAAAGAGGAGTTAGTTGATCATTCACTGTTGACTGTTGATTCAAAAATAAATGCAGCGTAATGAACCTTCGCTTTCTGAGTCTGGTTCCTTGGTGAAACTGGAGACCCCATGTGATAGACCCTCACACGAAAACACAGGGGTGCATGCTGCCATCTGCACCTGGAGACAGCCACAGAGCCGCCTGCAGGGAATGGCCCTGCAAGGTGTGGAACTATCTGCTTCTGTGCATGAGCCTTGTTACCAGTATGTAGACCCTGCACTCAGTACACCACTTGGCTGAAAAGATAAAAGTATGAATAGTTTTTGGAAGGTGTTGGGTGTATTAATAGATAACCATCTAGAAAATGTCTATTACTAAATCAGACCCTTACTAAAAGCCTGCTGGTAGTTGGAGAGACAAGGGTGTATGAAACCCAGTCCCCTACCTCGGGGAGCTTGTGCTTTAGCTCCAAGACAAATGCACAAAAAACAGAGCAGACTAGACACTTCATTTTCTCAAGTTTAGAGGGAACAAGATGCCTTTGAGCTAACCTCAGCAGTGGCTGCTTATTCTGGGGTGCTTGCTTTGCCCAAGTTGCCTTTCCGCAGCATGCCTTTGGAATAACCTGAGGGCTGGTGTGGCTGACTTGAGGGCGCAGTAGAGTGGATAGACATCGTCCAGTGCTTGAGGGAGCCCAGACTTCAGCTATCTCTGAGGCCACTGTCCCTTGAATCGTGCACAGAAGGATTTCTGTGGTTCTTACACGTATTCCTTTAGGCTATATTCTTTTGGTGTTTATCTCTCAACCAGACCCTTTAAAAAAGAACGACTTTTTGAAACTGGAGAAGAGCCAGAGCTGCCAGAGCTCTCTTCCCGGGGAGCTGGGCGTGTGGCGTGCATAGGTGTGGATGCCATCTCTGCTGCCTGCCTGCCCGTCTTTATCTCGCACTTCATGTAGGATTTAGCAGCTGAGAGAGGAACTCTTTTCTTTGAACAGCACGTACAAAGAAACATTTCCACCTATTCGGAACCTCCCTTCCGCGCAGGTTCTTTTTTTGGAAGGTGTCTTCAGAGCTCCAGCCTGACTTTGCGCTTTAGCATCCAGGAGTGGAAACAAGAAGAAATCTATTTTCATAAACTCAGTCTACCAATCTGAATGGCAGAGTTGTTATTAAGAGTATTCTGGTTTTTCAGGCCTGTGTGCCTTGCGGCCTGGGGAGCTTCCTGTAGTTAGTCTTGTGATACAGGATGCGAAGGCGCTCAAGAGCGTGCCTGAAGGTGTGGACACAGCCACGGCCAGTATCACCAGTCAGCACAGGACCCAGAAGATGAGGCCAGTGGGATCAGTTTACCCTAACTAAGGAGCAGTGGTCACAGACGTGGAGACTGGGCTGCCTGCTCCTGGCACCGAGCCTGTGGCTGCGTCCACATCCTGTCCAGCACGAGGCTGAGAGGTTGGCGAGAGCTGCTTGTGCTTACCAAGCTCACAGAGACAGGCCTTTAGAGTCCTGTGGGGTTGTCTGGGTTCTCAGGCTCTGCTGAGGCTGAACTGAGAGTGACCCTCATAGCATCTTGTGTTGCAGGTGGTGGTGTCTCCAGAGCAGCCTGAGGACTCAGGAAAGCTCAGCTGTCCTTCTGCAACTCTTCCATCTGGCTGTAGGGATGCCATACTGCCTTATAATTTTGATGGCCCCTTGAAATTACTATGAGAGCCATGTCCTTTGCCCATCAATTGGGACTGACACAATAATAATTCTTCAGTAGACCTTATAGGCAGCACAACTGATCAGGAACTCACCATCTTTTTAAAAAAATTTTTTTTTTGTACTGAGAATTGAACCTAGAGGTGCTCTATCGCTGAGCTATACCCTCAGCCCGTTTTGTTTTGAGATAGGGTCTCTCTGAGCTACCCATGCTGGCCTTGAACTTGGGATCCTTCTGCCTCAGTCTTCAAAGTTGCTGGGATTACAGGCATGCACCACCTCACCCAGATAGGTTCAAATCCCACCCCTGCCATTTGGTAGATGGCTAGCTTTAGATTACTCATCACTGAGAGCCTGGCTTTCACAGACGTGTGATGTCACTTCAGGTCCTGGTAGACCTGTTTGCACAACACCTAGCACATAGTAATTGCTGAAAAAAATGTGTACCTCCACCTAAAACTGCTGTCCAAGTATATGCATTTGGGGGATTTCCAGGTCACTGGAGAAAGAAAACCCCACAGGAGAAGTTGGTACAGAGCGAGGGTAACTGAAAGTACGCCTCGTCTCCACTGATGTCAGAGTCCTTACTCTGTTGACATTCTTTTTAAAAAGACTTGACTTTTTTAGTGTGTCATTGTGGACAGCCCTCCTCTTCTAGCCTTACTATCACTGAAATTCCCAACCCCTTCAAGGACATGGTAGCACTTTTTGGACAGTGAAGGACTCTGGACCTTGCATCTTAGTCACATCTCTCACATTCCTCTTGCCTAGCTTGTGTGTGTCTTTTTAGTCTTTGACTTGATGAGCTTACCTTTTGACTGGACTTGTGATGAGATAATGCTTTTCAAATAAGAACACACCGATAAGTGCACAAATATGTAAGTGAAATCTTGAAATCCTGTGTGCCGTCAAATGCAGTCTGTTCAGCCTGGATCACAAACGAGGTGATTTGTCAGCGGCTGGCACTGCGGCCAGCACTGGACTTCTTGGAAGGAAGGATGGACTGAGGAGAGCCTAGACTCAAACTTACCTTAAGGTGGGATCAGCCAGTGAATTAGATTAAGTGCTGAGTAAGCAAAGTCTTTGGGTGCTGTGACAACACAAGGGCACCGCAGGTTGGTTCTAAGAGGAAGTCATGGGAGCTCCCTGCAGGAGGCACTGCCCAAGCTGAGGATCAGCGGGGAGTGAGAAGTTGGCCCAGTGGAGCCTATTCAAATCAGGAGTCTTTCATCCGAGTGCATGCACAGGTGGAGAACTTGGTCATCGTGGCTGCTGAAGGTGAGAAGATGATCTGTGACCAGAGTCTAGCATTTTGGACTTGATTCTCAGGGCATTAGGTTAAAACTGAAAGTGACCTGAGATAATGGGGAAACCATTCTGGCTGCGTGGGGGAGAATGGGCTGTTGGGAAGACAACAGGAGACAGGGAGCGGGTAGGTTTAGGCAGCAGGTTCCATGACATTGCAGGGTGGTCTCCGCAGTACAGTACGGCTGGATGACTGGATGAGGTGGTGAAGGAAGGAAGAGTCTTGGACGCCTCCAGCATCCCACATGGGCACTTGGACAAGTGGTGTGTCGTGTTTTGAAGACGTGATGGCGCTCAGATGGAGAAACTTCCTGAGTCTGGCGGTGAGCTGGACACAGGCATAGCGAAGGACTTGCGAGAAGCCTCAATCGGCACTTGGCTGCTGGAGTCTGGCATTAGAAAAGGATTGGGCTAGAGAAGGTATCAGGGGACTGTCGGCATATAGGAGGTGACAGCCACGGGCAGGTGGGTTCCCGTCACCTGGAGAAGAGAGTATGGTGTTTGGGGCTGGATGCCAGAGATCTGAAGAATGAGGGTCTTGGGAAGATGAAGAAGTGCCAGAGACCGGAAGAACTAGGAGTGCGCTCTCCAATGGCCAGGAAAAGATGACGTCCTGAGAAGGAGAGAACAGTCGGTGTCCCATTCAGAGAGAAAGGCAGGTCTGAGAAGTGCGCACTAGATTTCATGACCAGGAAGTGTCGGTTGGCACAGGCTGTCTTCGAGAAGCGGGCCCAGCGTGCACGGGGCGCTGGTGAGAAGGTGGTATGTACGACCACGGAGTAGAGCGTGGCAGGAGCCTGGAGTGGCAAAAGGAAGCAAAAAGCTGAGAAAAGCTGATCGCGGATATAGGTCTTGAGGTGTAAGACAGGCAAGGGGTCCTCATGACCGCATCCAGGAAAGTCAACAGGTGCAGGCCTTCCTGGAAACGACCAGGACACTGGTGTGTCTATGTGGACATCGCATCTGCTCAGTCCACCTTGTCCTCTTTGCTAAAGACTTCCATAAATATCCTTGTATTTAGAAGAATAATGCATCCTCAAATTGACTGGTATCTAAACTTCATTACTCCTGTTAATCTAAAAATAAGCTTCCTCGGTAGCAGCCCACACAGATGAGCTATTCTTACTTAGTTCAGTCAGTGGATCTCACCACTGTGATTCTCCTAGTCTGGGTAACTGAAGGCATTTATGAGCCATCCTCTGAGTAGAGAGCCTTGGTGATTAGATCATTTCTGGAGTGCTTAGGCATTTTTGTTCCCCTCTCAGGAAAAACTAGTGATGATTTTCTTGTTCAGCTGTGCAGAAGGGATGGCAGCTGTCCAGGCACCCTGTGGAGCCTGGTCCTCCCTTGGCCTCCCTGCTCAGATTGCCCACAGTAGGTGTTTCATCCCTGGTGACGTGGTGGTTGGTCACAGCTTCCCCACTGAATGATCTTCAGAGGGTTGTTTTGATCAGGGAGAGGCTTTTTGACTGGGGGACGGGAGAATTGAGTAAGTGAAACATTGGCTGACGCAAAATCCCACGAAGAATTGTCTACAATGTAAGTAAAGAGGGAAAACGGCAGCAGAGAAGCAGTGGCAAGGTGCCTGAGCGCTGGGCGAGCCTCCTGAAAGCCCACCTGTGGATCGCCTGGTCCTAGTGGATCGCCTGGTCTTAGGTGCATCACCTCCAGGGCAGCCTTTCTGTATCCCTGTCTTGGAGTGACGGTGGGTCCCTCTCTCGTCTTAAATGCGTGTTTCTGGCAGCTGCTGCTAGCTTCTTGCCATTGGATGAGGCCACCCAGGTTCTGCAGGTCCTCTGAGGCCACGCACCCCCTCTCCTCTCCCAGTCTTCACAAAGCTGAAGCAAGCAGACGACTGTGGATATGTAGCCCTTTTTCGGTAAACGTCTATTGGGAATGACAATATGTGGTTCTTGGGATCTACCTTTCCTGTTTGAAACTGTCAAGTTAGAATTTTTCTCTTAGAGCCCTATAGCAATATAGTACTTGTCTGTATTACTGGCCAAGTAGTATACTTACTTTGGGTGATTGAGTAGTGAATTTTAGAAGCATATTTAAATGATTTCAAGAAGAATTTGTGAAAGAAAACTATAATTCTTACTTTTTTTCAAATCTTCTGTTGGGCATGGTAGCACTTGCCTTAATCCCAATGACTCAGGAGGCTGAGGCAGGAAGATCTCAAGTTCAAAGCCAGCCTCAGCCACTTAGCAAGATCCTGTCTCAAAAATTAAAAAGACTGGGGGTGTAGCTCACCTCCGAAGTACCGCGAAAAAGAAAATACTAAATGAGGAGAAGAAATGCTTAGTTTGGACCAGCGTCTCCGCAGATGAAGGAGAAGCTTAGAGTGAAGTCTGAGTCCTCTGTGCTGACAGCTCTTCAACTGTGATCACTTGCCTGGAACATGAGCGAGTTGCTCCATCAGTTTGGAAGAGAACGTGAAGGCAGCATGGGGAAGGCAAATGTACTGACAGAATCAGCTGGGGTCTGTTTTCCACGTGTATGTAATGGAAATATTTTGTAGCTGATGGTCTGGTTTGGGGCAGTGTTTGGTTAAGCACTACTGTGTTACCCAGCTGTTTCTCATCTTTTTTTTTTTTTTTAAACCTTACAGCTTCTAACCGAAAATCTTCAGTTGGTGTAAAAAAGAACAGCAAGAGCAGAACGTTAACCAGGCAGTCCATGTCCAGAATTCCCGCTTCCTCCAACTCTACCTCATCTAAGCTAACTCACACGAACAATTCCAGGGTACCAAAGAAACTGAAAAAGCCTGCAAAGCCTTTACTCTCAAAGATAAAGCTAAGGAATCACTGCAAGCGACTAGAGCAGAAGAATAGTTCAAGAAAGCTCGAGATGGGAAACTTAGTACTTAAAGAGCCTAAAGTGGTCCTATATAAGAATTTGCCCATTAGAAAAGACCAGGAGTCAGAGGGATCAGTCCAAGCTGCAGTTGCCAGTGGGTGCTTGACTAGACATGCGGCCAGAGAACACAGGCGGAATCCTGGGAGAGGTGCTCACTCGCAGGGGGACAGCTCGCCCTGCACCTACACAACCAGGCGCTCGGCGAGGACCAGGGCAAACCCGCCGGAAGCCTCGGACATCAAGCTAGAACCAAATACGCTGGATGGCTGTAATGGCACGGCAGAACCTTGCCCAGACAGTGATGAGCAGCCAGCCCCCGATGTGCAGGAAGAACTGGCTAGCGAGACTGCACAGAAGGGGGAAGCACTGGGTCACAAGAGTGACCCGACCATGTCTAGAAAGAAATCGCGACAAGGAAAACTTGTAAAGCAGTTGACAAACATAGCAGAGTCCACCCCGGTGCATGACTGCCCTGGACAGGAGAGCAACGTGCCAGATTTGATGGCACCCCACTCTGACCAGGGTGAGCCCAGCGGTGTGGCAGGGGTGCCCATGAGCTACACAGACTGCACTCCCTCGCCTGTCGGGTGCTCAATCGTCACGTCAGACAGCTTCAGGGCGAAGGATGGCTTTAGAACTGCTAAAAGCAAAAAGAAGCGGCGAATTACAAGGTATGACGCCCAGCTAATCCTGGAAAATAACTCTGGGATTCCCAAATTGACTCTCCGTAGGCGCCATGATAGCAGCAGCAAGACAAACGACCAAGAGAATGACGGGATGAATTCTTCCAAAATAAGCATCAAGTTAAGTAAAGACCATGAAAATGATAATAATCTCTATGTAGCAAAGCTTAATAATGGATTTAACTCAGGATCAGGCAGTAGTTCTACAAAATTAAAAATCCAGCTAAAACGGGATGAGGAAAGTAGAGGGCCCTATGCAGAGGGGCTTCATGAAAATGGGGTGTGCTGTAGTGATCCTCTCTCTCTCCTGGAGTCCCAGATGGAGGTGGATGACTACAGTCAGTATGAGGAGGAAAGTACAGATGACTCCTCCTCTTCAGAGGGAGACGAAGAGGAGGATGACTATGACGATGACTTTGAAGATGATTTTATTCCTCTTCCTCCGGCTAAGCGACTGAGGCTAATAGTCGGGAAAGACTCTATAGATATTGACATTTCTTCAAGGAGAAGAGAAGATCAGTCTTTAAGGCTTAACGCATAAGCTCTTGGTCTTAATTTGACCTGGGATAACTACTTTAAAGAAATAAAAATTCCAGTCAATTATTCCTCAACTGAACCATTTGAGTGGCAGCACTTCTATCGTCTCTTCACGTATCAGCATAATATTGTAGAAAGTGTACAGCGTACTGACTCTTCCTAAGTCTGATTTGTGCAGATTTTTATCGTACTTTTTAAATAGCCTTCTTATGTGCAATTCTCAGTTAGAGGTGAAGCCCTATTGTAAAATAAAGGCTCCAGCAAAATTGTACAGTGATAGCAACTTTCCACACAGGACGTTGAGACAATAATGTGGCTACACAACTTCTTTTTTTTTTTTTTTTTAACTTTTAAGAGCATCAGCTGGCTCTTTAATATATGACTAAACAATAATTTAAAACAAATCATAGTAGCAGCATATTAAGGTTTTCAAGTATATGCTAATATCACCAGCAATGATCTTTGGCTTTTTGATTTATATTTGCTAGATGTTTCCCCCTTGGAGTTTGTCAGTTTCACACTGTTTGCTGACCCAGGTGTACTGTGTGTGGCCTCTGTTAACATAGCCAACCATCAGTCGGGAGTCAAATTGGTTTCTTTACAAAACAAAAAAATACCATCACACGCGAGACAGCTCACTGTTCAGTACACTGTATGTACCAGGTTAGCAGCGTGCAGGATGCGTTTCAAAACAGCGTATTTATTGCTTGTCATGTAAATTAAAGACCTTGTATTTAACACTTTTCAATCCTTTTAGATAAAATTGTTCTTTGCAAGAATGATTGGTGCTTATTTTTTCAAAACTCTGCTGTGAACATGCGATGGCAACAAGCAACGTTATCTAATGAACTACAGCTATCTTAATTTGGTTCTTCAAGTTTTCTGTTGCACTTGTAAAATGCTACAAGGAATATTAAAAAAATCTATTCACTTTAACTTATAATAGTTTATGAAATAAAAACATGAGTCACAGCTTTTGTTCTGTGGTAACCTATAAAAATGTTTGTCTTTGGAATTCAATGTAAAGAGCTGAAAACAATGTATATGTTGTAAATATTTGTGTGTTGTGAGAAATTTTTGTCATAAGAAATTAAAAGAACTTACCAGGAAGGTTTTTAAGTTTAGAAATATTCATGCCAATAAAATAGGAAATTATAAATATATAGTTTTAAGCACTGCCTCAGTGGGAGTTCTCAGCTTATATTAGTTTATTATTAAAATATCAAAGTTTTTTGATTATATTATCAGTTAATCAAAAAGGAGTCAGATTTGTTTTTTCAAGCACTTTGAGAAGAGAAATTAATTTTAAGTAACTTAATGAGCAAATTTTTGATTATTTTATGTTCAATACCAGGCTCTTTCATTTTTCTGGATTATTTTAGAAATCAAAGAATTCGGGAATATAAGTCTATAGCCGGTGTTTAACACCAGCAAATCTCTGTTTCCTGGGAAATGTGTACATGTGCTTTCAGATGAGTCAGGTCAACTTAGGGGGTTCTTGTAGTGTCTAGAAAAGTAGCCCATGTCTTAAACTACTCAGAGGGATCTGCAGGTAACAAGAAAGTCCAGTGAAGGAAACCTCAATGCTTCACTGTTATTTCTACTTGATACCCACCACTTTTCACGTTTGGGGGACATTGTTTAAATTAAGCTCCTCAAAACTAGTGCCAGTAGGTTGCAGATAGAAAGTGGGGGAGCCTGAGAGGCCTTTGCTCCTGGAGCCCTGGGTCGTCCTGTGCAGTCCCAACGTGGCTTCTCACGGTCAGGCTGATCCTCAGGGATTGATTTGGAAGCAGGCGTGGACCTCCCCCCAACACATGCCCCTTCTCGCTGCAGCTCTTGAGGCAGGGCAACCCTACCTGGCCTCGGGCTCCTGTCCCCAGACACTGTCCAGTCCTCATGGGGTCCTGCACAGAAGCATGAGGCCTGGACCACGCACGGGAGGATGAAGAGGGGCCCTCTGGAGCAGGCGGGCAGTGGGTCACCTCTCATTCCCACCTTTGCTTGGGGTATTTTGAAGAGGTTCAGAGACTAAACCTCAAAGGTTTTTTTTGAATACCAACAATAGCCATTTCAGGAATTTCAGTCTTAAGGAAAAAGTAACAAAACACATTTCCCATTTTTCTCCACGTTGAAGCTTAATTTTAGTAACTTATTTATGATGTTTTAATTTTATTATGGCCTCATCTTTTGAGGCTGACCTCCCCGTGGGTCTCAGAGCAGTGACATTTGGTGACAGTCGCTGCTTCTCAGGAGTCGGTATGCACAAGCACTCAGCGGCCGCTGGGATGCCTTCTAGGGCGCCCTAATTTCCGTTTTTAAAGGTAGGGGCCTCGGGACTGTTCTCAGCCTGCTGTAGAACGTCACTGTGTGGGAGACAAAAGCCACACACTCTTGACCAGTTTGGAAGAGGTTACATTCAATAAAACTTTTAGCTTGAGCTTATGCAATGATTGGTAAAGTTTTTGGCATTGTAAGAATTAGGAAATGATCATAGAAATATATGTAAAGTATTCAATTTTCAATCATTTTTCAAATTACTGTTTTAAATTGTTTTGCTGAGTTGTAATACTTTTGAGATACAATGTATTCCTTGTACTGAAAGAATGAAAAAGGACTTTTTCAGCATTTGAGGTAAGTTCTTTAACGTTTCATTAAAAACATTTTTTACAAATATTTTGTACATGCACTTGCAGTATTGAGGTTAATCATTTTAATAAATTCGGAAATTAAAACAATGTGGCCGGTGTTCACTGTATCTGAGAAGAAGAGATCAAAGCGGTGACTTCCCTGAAGTGCTCCTGTGAAGCAGAATGGACCAGGGTGCACCCTTGCCTGTGCTGATCACTGGAGGGAGAAGAGGGCAAGCAGCCATTCCCTGCAGGGAGGCTGCTTCCAGCCTGTGAAGCCTCCTAGCCTGGGGACTCAGAAGTCTTTGCCCTCCAAATGGAGCAAAATGACACTTGAGGGCTTTTATAACCCAGTTACTACTAGCTTCTGATTGCTTGCTTTTTCTCTCTCTACTGGAATAGCAGATCCCGAACTGGCCTGAGTCCCTTTTTCTCCCATTTACTGTTGCAAAACCTACTTGAAATAGGACTGGCACAGGAATCAGGAACCCTGGATTTGGCCAGCTCGGCAACACCTTCGTGGTTGGGAACATGCTGCCTGGCTGCAGCCCTCTTTCCTGGCGCCTAGCTCCATTCTGGGTCAGAAGTCAGTGTACTTGGTCCTATCCCCAGTTAAGGTTTAGAAGGAACATCCTTCACCCCATTGGCAGGCAAGTGAGCACTCGTTAGCTAATCGATTGGAATATTCACCCAAGCCTGAGTTCCCAATCTGGAAAAAGGCTGTGTCCTGCCTGTTAACCACTCACACTCTTGACGGCTCAGTCTGCTTTCCAGTAGCTAGTGGCAGCCAGCTCACAGCATTCTGCCCAAAACCCTTGTGTGACCTGTTTCTCAAATACAAGATTTCTGTCACTAACATACATTGTGTCAAGTGCTCTGCTACCAAAAAACAAGGTGCCAAGCAGCTGCCACCCTCGGGTACTTCTGTAGCCCCAGGATGATGGTGCAGAGGCTTCAAGGGAAGGGCATGAGGCTGCTTCCTGCGCCCTCCATGTCCTGAAGCACTTGAGTGCTGCTGGTGCTGGCTGGTGGACGAGCCAGAGCACAGGCGAATCTGCCTTTTTCAGAAAGAGAGCAGGGTTGGCAAGTAGAGGTAGATGAACCAGGATGGGATATGCTGCCAACGCTGCCCTCCTCCCGTGCCCCTGCCACTCACATCCTCCCAGGACAGTAAGCTCACAAGTGTTCACGGAGCAGCTGGGAAGCGGCCAATCTGGACAGAAGACCCTGCAGGCCTGTAGAGATGACTCTGGAACAGTGCTGTTACCAGATTCTGTGCCAGATTCTGCTAAGCTGCCCTAGACTGCAACCATCCTTTGCGGGGAGTCCCAACCCTGTTGAGTGCTCCCACGGTTCTCACAGAGAAGCAGTGCTTCACATTCTGCTTAGGGCTGGCTCAGGTCTGAGACCCTGAGCTGGCCTTTTTGGTTTGTTTCTTTTGCAGTGCTGGGCATGGAACTCAAGGCTCCTCTACCACTTTTTTTTTTTTTTTTTTTTTTTGGTACCTGGGATTGAACTCAGGGGCACTAGACCAACTGAGCCACATCCCCAGACCTGTTTTTATTTTATTGAGAGTCGGGGTCTCACTGAATTGCTTAATGCTTCACTTTTGCTGAGGCTGGCTTTGAACTCCCGATCCTCTTGCCTCATCTTCCTGAGTTGCAGGTATTACTGGAGTGCACCACCACCTCCAGCAGGTGACAGGAGTTAGTCACATTTCTCCAGTATGTGTGAGCTCATGTTATGTATTTGGGATTGGGGAGGCAGGGTTTGAATTAAAGCCACAGGAGTGGATGAGGAGAGCTGGTGCTGAGGGCAGCAGAGAATGTTGTGCCAAGGCCACTGGACCTTGGGGACCTTGAAGGCACAGCTGGGGCAGTACTTGAGAAGCCAGACTGGCTGGGGACAATGGAGGAAAGGGGATGACAGCAGAGAGAGAAGGTGGTTAACTATTTAAAGGAAAAGCAAGTTTAACCCCAGAGAGCTTCCATGGGGTGGTGAGCTCCCGAGAAGGGCAGTGAGGAGTCACTCGGAGTCGGGGGTGGTGGGGGTCATCCATCTTCCAAGAGGAAAGACACATTCGGGTGTGACGGAGGAGCCAGCCCAGCGCCAGCATTCGCAAGAGTTCTATCCACTCTGGAGCAGGAGGCCGGGCCATCTGAGCATCAGATGTTTGGGTTTGGGCCACACAAGGGAGATGTGAAATCAAGAATGGGAAAGCAAGCTGACCACAGAAACTTAGTACAATTCATTGAAGACATATTTACTCATCACACTGCAGTACTAGCCAGTGTCCGAGTTGCCCCAGTGGGCGGGAGGGGCACCTGTTGGCAGCAGCACTCCTCTGCACAGATGTGGTCCTCTCAGGCCAGGTGGGGTCGCAGCAGATGGCGGGTGGAGGTGTAGTTCAGGCTGGCTAGGGAGGGGTGGCAGGATCTGTGCACACCCTCAGGGTAGGGGAGCCTGCAACCAGGGTGGGCCGCAAGCCGAGGCGGACGCAGGAGGCCTGGGGGCGCTCTGCGGCCAGGGAACCGCCTAGCGGTCATTGGACCAGCCAATGGAGAGGGCGGAGTCAGCAGAGGGCAGGTTCTGGAGTTTGGGAGAGGCTGCGTTTTCTGGGGACTTCAGGTCCTGGACGGGACCTGGAGAAGATCGCCTGGCAATAGGTGGCCGCAGTTCTGGGAGAGTGGGACTTTGGTCTGAAGCCAATGGCCCTCCGGAGGCGGGCACTTGGGTGGTGCGGGGCGGAGGGCACGCGCCCCCGGGGCCACGCCGCGACGGGCAGCCGGACGACTGGGTCTGTGGGCGACCAACGCGGGGAGGTGGGGCGCCCGGATATTGTGTGGGTGAGAACCGGGGCGAACCGCAGCGCCCCACGATCCCGAAGCAGATCCGGGCTCTGCCGGAGCCGCACCTGGAGAGCCCGGGGAGGGCCGCTCTGGGCGTCGCCGTAAGTTCCCTTGAGTGGCGAAAGGAGTCGCCGCCTTTTACCCGCTTTCCCTGCACCAGTGCCGCCGCGGAGTGTGTGCAAAGGTCGTGCGCAGATAAGCGGGCGCCGCGCGCACTCACGAGCCCTGCGGTGGGAGCGGCGCCGGCGGCTCAGCCGGTCGGTGGGAGGCGGCGGCCCGTGCGGCCCTGGGACAGGACGGACAGTCCTTATCTGCAAGAAGCCGGTAGAAGGCCAGCAGCCCCGGGCAGCAGGCAAATCCAAGGTGTCCTCCAGCGGCCGAGCTGCTGGACTCGCGATTGTAACAGCGACCTGACGCAAATGTGCTCCAGAGGGCCGAGGAATAGCCGCGTTGGGTTCGAATGTGCCCGGTGTTGGCGTCTGAGAGAGAATGTCACCCCAAGGGACCTCGCGCTGTTCTCTCTCACCCCGCGCCCATCTTAGAAACGTAGGTTGCATGAATGGGAAGCAGCATTTTATGTACAAAAGTTGGTGACTCCGAAGCCACCTAGTGTTCCCCCTCTCTGACGTGTGGGCTGCAGAATCCGACCCTGACGGGAAGCGACCGGACACCAGAAACCGGGAATCTTGCAACTGACTTTGGTAGCAGCCAACGAGGCTGGGGAGGGCCCCTCTCCAGAGCAACTGTCCTGTAAAGGGACCCTGTCTTGTCCTCCTCTTGCTGGCTAAGCCATATTTTCCTTCTAGGGCAGAAGGGTGAGCAGACGGCTGGGGCTTGCCAGCCCCCAAATGGGCCAGAGCTGGCCCAGGAACCGTCAGCCTGGGGTCAAGGCCTGGGTGCCCGGGCCAGGTGGAGGACCTGGGTGAAGCAGCGCTGGTGCATGCTGCTGGGTTCACAAGCCAAGCAAAGCACTGCCCTCTCTGAGTCCGTTTTTTTTTTTTTTTTTTTTTTTTTTTTTTTTTCACTTGTAAACAGAGTAGTAATCCCAAACTGGCCCCTGTGATTGCTGAGGATCAAATGAGGGAGTGCCTGTTATCCCGTGGCACAGGCTGGCACCTAAGTCGGCCTATGCTGATAGCCCTAGGTCCCACCTTGGACTATGCCAGGCACCACGGACACCTCACAAGCCCCCTACCCTCTCCAGTGGCACCTGCTCAAAATCGCAACTCCCCCCGCCCCCGCCCCCGCCCAGCTTCAGAATACCCGCTGCTGGAGCAGGCCCTCCTGTCACATTCCAGTTCCCTCCTCCAGCCAGGACTCTGTGTCAGCCAAGCTCCTGAGGAATGCTGCTCTGTCCCTTGCTCTTCCATTCCACAGGGCTCTCCCTGGATTCACCTGCTCCCCTGACAGCCTTCCCTATTCAGGCACCAAACAGGTTCTGAACACTCAAAAGGCATAGCAACTACAGGGGTGATCCGAACCCAGCCCCTCCTTCAAGGGCCAGAGCCTGAGCTCGGTGAGAGAAACAGGGAGACAACCAGCAAGCAATGTGGACACCCCAGACAGAGGCGTGTGGCAGGTGCCGTGGAGTCCAGAGGGTGCCTGGTTTCTGCTGGAGCTGAGACTCAGAAGGGTCCTGAGGGACATGCAGACCAAAAACATACAGGTTCCATCTCACTCCAGTGACAATGGCAGTCACCAAGAACACCAACAAAATCCCAGCAGCTCGGGAGGCTGAGGCAGGAAGATCGTAAGTTCAAAGCCAGCCTCAGCAAATTAGTGAGGCCCTAAGCAACTCAGTGAGACTCTTATCTCTAAATAAAATACAAGAAAGGGCTGGGGGTGTGGATCAGTGGTTAAGTGCCCCTGAGTTCAATTCCCTTTACCAAAAAGAGAGAGAGAATACCAACAACAAGTGCTGGCGAGGATGCCAGGAAAAGGTATCCTTGTACATCATTAGTGAGACTACAGATTAGTGCAACCACTTTGGAAATCAGTATGGAGATTCCTTAAAAGGCTAGCAATGGCAGCCAGGTGCAGTAGTGCAGGCCTGTACTCCAGAGGCTTAGAGGCTGAGGCAGGAAGATGGCAAGTTCAAAGGCAGCCTCAGCAACTTAGGGAGATGCTATCTGAAAATAAAAAATAAAATGGGCCAGGTACAGTGGTGCACACCTGTAATCCCAGCAGCTTGGGAGGCTGAGACGGGAGGAACACGAGTTCAAAGCCAGCCTCAGCAAAGTGAGGCCCTAAGCAACTCAG